TGTGAGTCGGAGTGACTCTGTAGAAAAGTGACTCCCTCTAAATGAGTATTTCGCTATCAGTCACAACATATCCCTATCTCTGTGTGTGTAGCGTGTGTGTGTGTAGCGTGTGTGTGTGTATAATGGGTGTGCCCAGGCTCGCAGGGGCCGGACTTTAGCTCCTGCTTCAGGTGTGTCTTTGTGCAACACAGCAACAAGACGCATAGAAGGGCAGACAGTCATGACATAAACATTTAGATGTAGGTCAACGGGAATAAGGGGCGGTCAAGAGAAGACAAAAGCGGGAGACACAGAGGAGAGAAAATGGAGAAAATGAAACCACCATGTGTACCTTTATCCTGAAGATTTCCAGGAAGCTTAGGGATTGCTACCTGTCTGGACTTGCAGAGGTAGAAGGTAACTTGTGTTACCATTTTTTCCCCTCTTTCTGTGTGAGTTTGCGTGCGGGTGTGTGTTTTATTTTCGGATTGATTTCATGAGAAAGATAGACTCAAAAGCAGATTTGTGCAGCAGCCAGCACAGATATCAGCTAGAATAACAGGTTTGTTTCATAGACCGTAAAATTCAGGGCAGCAGGATCCTTCTTTTTTAAATGCAAAGAGCGCCTGGTTGGAGCGTTGACCTTCGATCAAGTCAAGCTAAGGTAATTTGAAAGAGGCTAATAGAGGCTAACATATGCATATTACAGCTAATTACACCATAGGTTGGACGGGGGGAGTAATTGGACTCAGGCACTTCTGCTGTCAGCATGAATAAGAGTCTTGGTTCTTAGGTGGTGGTGGATTTGCATTTGAGAAAGCTCACAAGTCAGCACATGTAAAATGAATGAAACAGGTCATTGGATCTTTGTTTTTAGAGTGTAATGACCGATAGAAAGGTTGATAAGATGTTTTATTGGTCTATTTGTTTGGACTACGTTCCCATGGTGGGGCTTGTGTGTTTCATTGATCCCAAACTGTTGACGCAGGATAAAAACAGACAGAATGACTTCACAGGGTTTTACTCATACATTATGTAGTGTGGAAAAGTTCACAGTTGCGAAAGCGTCAGGGTTTGAAGACGAGGGAGACGGGTGACGTGATATTCATAAAGGTAACATGCCCAATCTATGATCTGAATGTAAACGAAAAAGACAGCGCCAACCACCATAATCAACAACAGGAGATAGTAACAGACTGAGAGAGAGAGAGAGAGAGAGAGAGAGAGAGAGAGAGAGAGAGAGAGAAATAACACAACACTGCTACTCAGTCTTTGTTATTGATGATGCTGTTTAAGATGTTTTTACATTGGCCCTTGTCAGATGAGAAATGCCTTTAACTGAAACTTTGCAGGTATATTTATGAACATGCATGAAACATACTGTACATACATGTATGAAGGAATTTAAAAAATAAAGCTGTAACAGCCAGCAGAGAAAGACTCAGAAGTAAAATTAGCAAACTTACTTACTAAACGTCAGCCCGATGATTGACAGGTGACCAGTCCAGGGTGTACGTCTCGCCCCTCGTTCAATGACAGCTTGGACCCCTAATGGAAGAAGTGGTATAGATAATGGACAGATGGATGGATGGATGGACAGATGGATGTATAGTTGGATGGATGGATGGATGGATGGATGAATAGATGGATGGACAGATGGATGGATCAATGAATGGATGGATGATGTATAGATGGATGGACAGATGGATGGATGGATGGATGTGGATGTATAGATGGATGTATAGATGGATGGATGGATGAATAGATGGATGGATGGACAGATGGGTGGATGGATGATGGATGGATGGACAGATGGGTGGATGGATGATGGATGGATGGACAGATGGGTGGATGGATGTATAGATGGATAGATGGATGAATGGATGGATGGATGGACAGATGGATGGACAGATGGATGGATGGATGTATAGATGGATAGATGGATGACAGATGGATGGATGGATGATGGATGGACAGATGGATGGATGGACAGATGGATGGATGGACAGATGGATGAATGGATGAATGGATGATGGATGGATGGATGATAAATGGATGGATGGATGAATGGATGAATGGATGGATGGATGAATGGATGAATGGATGGATGGATGAATGGATGATAAATGGATGGATGGATGGATGAATGGATGATGGATGGATGGATGGATGATAGATGGATAACAAGATAAAACTGGATTCCCATAAGTGTATCAGTTAGTTATAAACATGCAGTATTTCTCTGGTTTTCTGACTTTTTGTGAAACAGTTTATAATTTTACCATTTCAGATCTCAAATAATTACTAAACTGATATGAAGAGTTTAGAAGTAACAACTCATAGACACATGAATGGTGACAACAGGCCCTGAGTTGCAAACATGAACAGGGGTGGAGCAAAAGAGTTGATAAAAGTTGCATTTCTTTAAGCCTCTGATGTGCTTTATTTTAATTTAAAGTCTTATTGTGTAGAGAAACTAGAGACTATTTAATGTAACACCATAAAAAAAGAACAATAATTACCTTTAAATTGGACTGAAGAAGACGTATAAAGTACCTCTAAACTGTACTTTACTATATCTCTTGAGTTAATGTTATTACTTTGAACCACCTTAATGAGACATTAAAATGTGTCATCTTTCTCTTCTTTCTCTGCTGTTTTATTAAAATGTCTCCATGGCGTTGCTGCATATCACACTTCTTCTTCTCTCTAATAAAGTGCTGTGATTCATCTGCTGTGTGTAGCATGAGTCGGCTGCAGAGTCCTGCTGCCCGGGAGCTGTGTGTGTCAATATGTGGTGTGTAGTAGCTGTTGAGCCTGGTCTGTAATGCTGCCAGGGCTCGTTCATATACCTGGATTAAACTTGCCCGCGGGCAAATTAATTGATTTTAAACTGCTGGAAGGTTTCAGTTATACAACAGTCCAGGGGCTGTAGCAGGTATGAGCGAATGAGAACCTTTAAGGTCTGCTTTCCTTCTTGCTTGTGTAATATTGTTGTTTGTGTGTGATTGGCAGAATAAATTGGACCAATAAGGACGAAACCAGCTCGAGAGATAATCAAAACTTTTATTGCTTTGCATCATTTTAAAAATCTGATAAACCAACCCAAGCATTCAATGTTGAATATGTAAAGTATTGTATATGTTGGTTTTTACAACGTATACTCAGTAATAATAAGTGGGTTGCTTAATGTTTATTCAATCCTGTTTTTATCTGGTGCATTTAGAGCCCCCTCAGTCCTGAAAATTTTTTATTCATTCAAACCTGTGGACACTTAGTTAGTGGAGTTATATTAGCTTATCCAGTGACTATCGGTATCGGCTAATTTAATCGCAGATATGCTCCGATCTCATTGTATTTCACTCGGAGTTCTTAATCTTGCTGTCACCAGCAGAGGGCGCTATATGAATTACAACAAGCATCTTCAATCTCCAGAGGGTCAAGCGGTGATGCACACATGCACAGTTACTTTCCAGTTTTTCAAGTGTTTGATAACTGCATTTGAGGGATCAATGCAATAAATGTGTAAATCTTTTTATCTCCAGATGGAGGATAGATCCAAGAAAGATATCGGCCGATATATCGGTATTAGCCCAATGTCAATATCGGTATTGGCCCCAAAAATTCCATATCGGTCAGGCCCTAATAATTACAATCTTGATTACAATGAAAATGAATTTGATGAAGAAAAAAAATTGGCCATGGTTCTCTGCCGGAAAAAGGTGGATTGCTCTCTCCGGGTGGGGAGTGAGTCCTTGCCCCAAGTGGAGGAGTTCAAGTATCTCGGGGTCTTGTTCACGAGTGAGGGTAGGATGGAGCGTGAGATTGACAGACGGATTGGCTCGGCGTCAGCAGTAATGCAGGCGTTGTGCCGGACCGTTGTGGCGAAGAGGGAGCTGAGCCTGAAGGCAAAACTCTCGATTTACCGGTCGATCTACGTTCCAACCCTCACCTCTGGTCATGAGCTAAGGGTAGTGACCGAAAGAATGAGATCGCGGATACAAGCGGCCGAAATGAGCTTCCTCCAGAGGGTGGCTGGGCTCAGCATATCACAGATAGGGTGAGGAGCTCGGACACTCGGGGGAGCTCGAATCCTGGAGTAGAATCCTGCTCCTACTCATCGAAAGGAGCCAGTTGAGGTGGTTTGGGCATCTGTTAAGGATGCCTCCTGGACGCCTCCCTTTAGAGGTTTTCCAGGCACAACCAACTGGGAGGAGACCCCGGGGCAGACCCAGAATGTGCTGGAGGGATTATATATCCCGTCTAGCCTGGGAACGCCTCGGAATCCCCCAGGAGAAGCTGGAAAACGTTGCTGGGGAGAGGGAAGTCTGGGTTGACTTACTGCGCCTGCTACCACCGCGACCCGACATCGGATAAGCGGAAGAAAATGGATGGATGGATGGAAAAAAAATTGAATTTTCTAAAGAGAATCTAATTTGTCAGTGGGAAATAAAAGTAAAAAGTATCAACGCAAAGACATTTGTTGAAGAAGGTTTAAAAGTTTTTTTTTATTGTTATTATTTAGAGATAACAGTGCATAGAGTCAGAAATTAGGGAGAGAGAAAGTCGGGAATGACATGCGGGAAAGGTGCCACAGTTCAGATTTGAACCCGGCATCCCGCTTGGAGTGCTATAGCCTCTGTACATGGGGCATGCACACTAACCACTCAGCACCCTGGTTTAAAAGTTTTTAATGTAAAAGTTTATTTCATACATTCTTCTATGCCATTGTTTGTTTCCCTGAAACCCTGATGTGTTTTTGTACTGTATTCCGTTTTTACTCCGGGATTCATCCAATGAAACGAGCTAAAAATGGAAAAGTATCTGGTTGAAGTTTATGTGCAGTCTATCATTTTCTTCGTGATCAGATTGCCTTGGTACTTATTAAAGGGAACACAGACCAAAGAGAACCACAAACTACTCACCCAATAAGAATACTACTACTGTAATCCTTTGAAGACTAAATAAGATCAGTACTTTTGTAATAATGCATGTTTTCTTTGTTTTGTTCTGTTCCTCAGGCAGAGCCCTCCCCAATGAAGACCACCTGGTACTGTCCTCTGGATCTGGTAGGTTCAGCTGTGTTGTGTTTGGAGTAATATGCATGCACAGGATAATGTGGCTGTGAGTCAGGACAGGAATAAAAACAGGGTGACGGTGTCGGGGACTTTCCCTGAAGCTATAACTGTTCCTAAGAGCTCCATGTAGCATGAGTCTGCGTAGGTTCTCAGTCATCCAGTGTCATGGCAGCTGGACTTGGTTGAAGATCTTGTCCAGTTGCCTTTGGATCAAGCTTCAAATTTCATATCTTCATTTTATGCTTCATCTTTGGGTATCGAGTGTCTAAAGAAGGGCAGTTTATTTATTTAATGAGACTCCTGCCTATAAGTGCGAGTTTAATAAATTCAGTAAAAATTCAAGTTGAATTTGATTTTCTTTGTGATCTAAACTTGGTGTCTCTGCTCTACAGTCCACTGTGGTGGAGGAAGAGGAGGATGGAGTGATCTACACAGTGGTGGTCAAACAGCAGCATGGGGCACTCAATAATCCATTGGTAAGTCCGGTCTGGCTTAGTTGAGACTTGGATTGAAAAAAATCCACTTTGAAGTAGTGTTGTAGTCAAGACCACAGTAACTGAGACCAAGACATACCCGAGACCAAGTCGAGACCAAGAACAAGGCAGGACGAGACTGAGACAAGACCAAGTCCCTAAATATCAGCAAAAAAACATGTGTGCAAGGGGTCTTGTCACTCATCTAGACTGAAACATTGGGAAGGTTGCGGCCGTAACTGGGGGAAATAAATCAAACTACAATTGAATTAAAGTTATAGTTTGTTTTAGAAAGAGGCATTTACCCTCTTATCACAGTAATGACGTGAAAAAATTGCCAATCAATAGTGGTCTTTACTGGTCTTGATTTAAAATCCAGAGTCCGCCCAGTCTGAGACAAGACTGACTAAAAATGGTTTAGATTCCGAGACCTTCAGAAAGTTATCTCGAGACCAGTATTGAGACCAAGACCGATCTTGAGTACTACAACACTCCTTTGAAGTAATAAAAAATCCCATTTGTGCCTCTCATCCTTCTTGTTTGTGTCCAGTCATCAGTTACTCGCTCCCAGTGTGTGAAAGCAGGGACAGAGGAAAAGCTGGTGCTCCACCTCCTTCACTCCTTCTCTATGGGAGATTCCTCCTTCATCACCATCTTCCTCTCCACATATCGATCCTTCACTTCCACACGCAGAGTGCTGGACATCCTCACAGACAGGTGGGAGAGTTGTGGAATTACTGAATGTTTATCCTTTTGCTTCTCTTAGACAGTCTAGTTATCAGTGAGGGTTAAAGGTAGTTCCAGATGCAGTGATGCACAGCAGGCAAAGCAGCTGTCAATATCCTGTCTCACTGGCTTTGTGCTCTAAAGCAGATTTAAAGAGAAGCCGTGCTGAGAGTCTACAGCAATGCTTGGATCTCTGTTGGGCTGCACTTTCCATCCAAGTACGCTAAGGGAGTGATTTAACTAATAATATCATGCCACCAAGTTCACAAAGATATACCATCATTCTCATGTTTAGAAGGTGTAGGTAATAATACCCAATCTTTTGTAGATTCAGGCCCTTTTTCCACATAGTGTTTTTTCTGGGCAGAAAAGCGCTGGCTGTGCGCCTGGGAGCGCTTGCATGAAGCGTTTGTGTGCTAGAAGAAAAGCGCTGCATATCTGTACCGTCTCTATGACAACAGTCTGTCAATAACGGCCGCTGTATGACCGACACTGCTCTGTTGCTTTTTACTTATTTGCGATCATTTTTACCCTAGCAGACACGGCGCAAAGAGGATGGGGGTACAAGACATGATCTGTAGGAGGAAAAATAATCTTATTTTATAATACAACTGACAGGTATATTTAAAAAAAGAGTGAGAGTGACATCAACAGCGCCCTTCAGAAAAATTTAAAGGTTTTCAATTCGGAACGCGGAGCCGGCGTACAAAAAAGCGTGGCGCTTGGGAAAAAGGCGCTGGGCGCTGCGCTTTTACTCCAGGCAGCTGCCCTTGGCTGCAAACGCTCTCTACCCATTGAAAACAATTGAAGAAAGACGCTGGCGCTCCAAAAAAAAACACCAGGTGGACATGCAGCCTAAGCTTTTTTGCAATGCTCGTCTCCAGCTGGGCCTTGGAAAACAAAAACATTTACAGCATATATAAAACAGTACAAAGGGCCACAAAGCTTAATTTAGTTACTAGTCGCATATTGGTCACATGATATAAACGCCATCACCCCCTATTGCTCGCCCTTGGTAAATTTCCTGACTTTTACCTGCTGCGTTCACACATCAGCTCACCTTGACTTCATGTGGAAATATAAGCAGGGGGCTGGCAGGAAAACGTCAAGGTAAAATCTGGCTGAAACTTTTGGGGCGTTTGTGTTCACACATGCAGCTAATGGGGGAAAATCCTGGGACATTTTCAGGAGTTTTGTGCAAGTGTGAACACGCCATACAATTGCTAAACGTTAGCAGCTTGCTTACTGACCTTTGAGTTCTGGGCCCATGTGACAACAATGGAACTAGATAAAGGCAGACACTATGTCTTTAAATCCACACTGCAAGCTTACTAAATTAATTGTTGTACTAAAGAGTTGATCAACTAACCATGAACCTGTTTTTTATTCTACCAAACGAACAGTTGTTTAGCTCTCCTTTGCAAGCTGATTCTAATTAAAACAGCTGTTTGGGTGTTGATTCTTTAACTTCATTAAATGTCACTTGTGTGTCACAATACAGGACGCACTTGTGTGTTTACTCATAATAAAGGCGGCTCTGCAGTGTTTTCTTTATAAACAATATGTGCCTGTGAAGTCTCATCGGCTCTGTGATGAAGTCGTACTAAATAATGGAGAAATTAATGAAAGACCTGTTTGGAAAGTTCCTCCGGAGAGAGTCATTGTAGATGAGTAAACATTACGACAACACCTTTGTTAAAAAGCTTCGAGAGAAAAAGAAGCCATACATGAATTAATCACAGAGCAGACACAAGCCAATGATACGAGTGTTTCTGTTTTTCTGCTCTGCTTAACAGATTGGAGACTCCGCCGGGGGACAACGAGAAGAGCCAGATCAGACAATCTTTCAACCAGTGAGTTTCTGAAAAAGCATTTCAACAATTTTAATGCCACTTTTATTTCAACATGTCTACATCTATTTGTCTACATCTATTTAGTCACAAACACTGTGTGCAAAAACACAACTTGTTAAACAAGAATTTTAAGCCCCTGACACTCAAAGGAGACGGCAAAGAAGTAGTGTAGAAGAAAGGCCGACTGTGGCGTTGCCTCGCGTCTTGGCCAAAAAGTTGCAATTGAACACACCACAGGACTACAGCCGACGGCCATCGGCGGTAGTCCGTTGTTATGATACGAGAAGACCATTTTCACACCGCTGTCGTTCACCACTCGTATTATAGGTAGCCTACTAATGGAGAATAATGTCTGATAAAAAGTTAAAAATGGCGCTGCCGTTGTCAGCCCTTGGTCTTTTAGTGGAAAAGAAAAGAGGAGGCGGAGGAGACAAATAAGGAGAAACCGCACTAATGGATTAAAGCATGGATACTACAGCGGCGTGCTCAAGGGGCTTTACTGAACCTGTGCCGAGAGCTGGAGGCAAATGAAACCCCCAAACAGCCAATCAGAGAGATTCCTCTCACTAACCGCACCGACGCCGACCAACGCCGATACAACATGTGGAATCGGCCGAAAAAAAGGCAGACAGGTAGCGATCTCTAGAGCGATCTCCTTGGTGTGTCAAGGCCTTTAAACAACCAAGTATAAGCAGAGAACACCAAACAGAAGACTGCAACAACAATCTCAACAAGCTCGTACTTTGGCATAATTTCAAAGAGTTTTTAAATAAAAAAACTAAACTCATCTTGTACTTGATTGTTGTTTTAGCTACTGCGATAGCAAACAGTTGTTAATTTACACATCCAGCAATGAAGGAGAAATGAAAGCATGCATTGTGATCCATGTTTCTATTCATCTAACAAATGTTAGAGATTTTTCTTTTCACTCTGTTATTTGTCATTAGCTGCTTTATTTTATGTGCACTCAGCCTGCCGCTGAAATCTTCCTGAATTGCTCATTCACACTGGTCCCTAAAGGCATGAAGTTTTCCCCTATAGACAAGGAGTAGGGGGGCATGACGTAGTTCATTTATCATTTTCATCCCACACTCTGCTCTCCCTGAAAGAGGTCCTTGGTGCTGTTGGCTTTACTTGTCATGGGAAGCGTTTCATTGCACACAGGCTATCATTCAACCTCTGTTAACACAAAACAATCTTGATCCTTTACTTCCGAGAAATGATAGACTCTTCTCTAAGCTGCTTTTCCAGGATAAACCCCCCCTTGAGAGCGTGGTTTCTCTGCAACTTTTTAGATGTGTCAGAAAATATCAATACATTCAATCAATTTCAATCTGCAACGGCTTGTTTATCTGCTTCCCACAACAGCCAACAGCTCAGGGTTTAAAGCAGAAACACATGCACGTCCCACCAGCACAACGGCTTTCATTATACTCCCAGCACAATCTGATGACTGATTTTTTAAATTCACGGTCTAACTTGGTTTCAGATGACCTATGCTATCCATAGAGAGCACTTTCAAGAAACTTTTTGTCTGAAAGTCAAAACTAAGAAATAAAGATGATCACATTCAGGGTTACAGAAGAGTTCAACAAATCACTAGAAATGCTACATAGTGTGAACACCTTGTTTATACTTTTCCCTCCTTGTATCTGCAGGGCGGTGTGCACAGTGTTCAGAATGTGGCTCTCGGAGTACCCTGAAGACTTTAAGGGTCTGGGGGAGCCCTCTCGCCTGCTGCGTCTGGCTCCCCTCTTCCCTCAGGACTCCTCATCTGCAGCTGACCTCCGCGCTCGGCTCCTCAGGATAGCCGAGGAGCTCAGCGAGAAAGCCCTGCTTCCTGATGCCCAGAAAGGTTCGTTTGAACTCGTATTAAATGGCACGCTTGATCAAGCTCTTCTGCAGACTTGTATTCTCGAGCAAACTGTGTAAACTGCAAACAGGGGGCGCAAAAGAAGTAAAAAGGCAACATGTGGTGGTTTGAGCTCATTGAAAAAAAAAGAAGTGGCAGACAACTGCTTAAGAAGAATACTTTTCAGACCACTTAACACATAAAATCATGAACTCAAACACCTTTAAGGATGGCTTACAACTAAATGACATTCCCAACAGCCTTAACTGTACTTTGTGTTTAAGGCTAATTAGCATGTATTAGCATGCTACCTGGCTACACTGGAATGGTAGCTATGGGGAGATTATATTTGATCAGCATGCACATTTTGCAAATGTGACCATGAGCTTACTGATAGAGAAAACTAACTCAACTCAAAATATTTATTTTGGGGTTTTTGTGCCTCTATTGGAGAGACAGGACAGTGGACAGAGCCGGAAATCAGGGCGAGAGAATAAGGAATGACATGCGGGAATGGAGCCACAGGTGGGATTCAAAACCGGGCCGTCCGCTTGGAGGACCATGGCCTCCATACATGGGGCGTGCACACTAACCACTGCGCCATCAGAGCCCCAAGTCCCTTACTTGTAAAACAACTGGGTGCTGAATCCCGAAAAACAATTTAGACAGCGCTCCAAATTTATATTTTGAATTGCCACACAAATGTTACGAGCAGACGCTCTTCTTCAGCGTGTAACAGGCAATCAATCATGAGCTTATTGACATCTTAGTGTTAGCATTTAGCTGAAAGACTCAGACATATCTTTTCAGATCCACTTGCAGCGAAGCTTAATCTTGTTTTCTCTCATCCCCAAATCTCAAGGTCATGGGTGGAATATCTAATTATCTCCAGATAACAAAATGAGATCCAATTTATTTGTGTTTCCTGCGATAACAAAAATAACTAAGCCGTTATATTGAGAAAGCACCATTCTCTAGAACGACATTTTACCCTGCACAAGGTGAAGAATCCCATCAACAGCTCCTTGATAATCTAATTCCTGCAGCTGAGGGACTAAGAAGGCATATAGCGCCTGTAAACGAAGGCGTGTCTTGTGTTTTGAATCCAGAGTTTTATTGAACAGCTTCTCTCTTTTTTTGCAGATCCGACCGGTTTCACCAGCTCCACTCCTCCAAACGCCTCCAAGTTTGAACCCACCAGTGTCCTGGGCTTCCCCGCAGCGCTCATCGCCGAGCAGCTCACCAAAATAGAGACGGTGAGTTTTGTTTTTGTTGAAGCCTTGAGATGGTTTTGTTTTGCACATGAAGCAAAAATACTACAGTGGTGCAGAAATGTAAAAGAGTACAGTAGTCAGTGTGTTTGCGTGTTATTTAGGATCCTGCTCTGTTGATTGTGTGGATTAGTTCAGCTGTAGTTTACTGTCCATCATTTTATCCTGCCCCACTGCTGCATTTGGTTATTTCTGAATTTAAAACAAATGGTTTATTGAGAGCAATATGTATGCAACAGAGAGGTGCAAGTCCTCAAACCTCTGTCTGTGTTATTCTGTGATGTTTGAGCAAACTGGATGTTAATTTAAACATCTTTTTCATCAGGAGTTATTTGTCCGTCTGGTCCCGTACCACTGCCTGGGCTCACTGTGGTCTCAGAGGGATAAAAAAGGGAGAGAAGGGGTTTGTTGGTCTGTCCGGGCCACCATACGTCAGTTCAACAAATTGGCTAATGCAGTTTTAGCTTCCTGCCTTTGGCCTACAAAGCTGCGCAGCCAGCAGAGAGCCCGACTGCTGGAAAAATGGATCGGAGTGGCAGAGGTCAGTGTGCGATAATCGTGGGTCAAAACTGCAAAAACGCTCATTTTGTGCAACTTTTAAACGCTGGAGCTTCAATAAAAATGGGGTAGATCTGGAAAAGGAAAATTATGAAAAGTATGTCAGTTGGGTATTCAAGCTTTCACAAAACCCTCAACTGTGCCTTTCCCAACAATAAACTCCCTTTAATCCCCGAATCATAATCCTATTCTCAGCCCTGACTGTGCAAATACCATCAGAAAGTCACGCTTTGCTTGGTTTCGGCTGTGATTGTACAAGCAACTTTACTTTAATCCACGGCTGAGGGCAAAATACAAAGTCTTGATTTACGATTCTTTCCTGGATTCCTCATTACAAGGAGTGCTCTCTCTCTCTCTCTCTCTCTCTCTCTCTCTCTCTGTGTTTGAGTGCATGTGGGGGTAAACCTCTTTGCATGGTACGACTGCAGCGAGTGTTAAAAATCTGCATATTTTTGTCCTGAGAGGAGACTTACGAGTCCAGTTCTCCTTTAAAGGGAGTAGGAAATGCACTCTGCATTAACAGTGCGTACCACTGATGTGCTGAGTCACACAAATGTGAGTTACGACCTCAAGGCAAACAGTAGAGGTTTAAAGCTGCTTAAAGAAGGCGGCATTATGGAGGAGAAATGTGGATTACTGAGCTCTGTAACAGTGTAATGGTAATTCTGCACAACATAAGTTTCTTGTGAAAATATTGAAGACCTCACAGCATCAACAGAATCTGCTCAAACACACACACACACACACACACACACACACACACACACACACACACACACACACACACACACACACACACACACACATATACATCCTGTCCCAGGTTATTACGGTCATGTGAGCGGTGTAACTTGCCAAGTGTCTTTATCTGTGAATAAAACGCAGCTTCTCTCCAGTGTTCCTGTACGAGAGCTGCATTTGTCACACACACACAGTCTCTAACACAAACTCACACACACACTAAATCCTCTCTGGCAAAGTGAAGCATCACTGGTTTCCTGCCAAAGTGGCGTCCTGAGCTCTTTCGCAGGTTTCTTTTGGGACAGCCCTCTTTAGCAGTATACATTATTCAGCAGCTCCAGGCCGACACTGTAACTGAATACCAGCCAGACGCACACCCACAGGTGTTCTCAGTTACAGCGTGGCTGTGTGCATGCGTGTGTGTGTGTGTGTGTATTCAAATGAGTGCATCCCTCTGTGTGTGAATTCAACAGGAGTGCCGAGCCAGGAAGAACTTCTCCTCGCTGTACGCCGTCGTGTCGGCCCTGCAGAGTAACCCCATCCACCGGCTCCGGAGGACGTGGCAGGAAACGGACAGGTAGGACGTCTACTCTTCCTGTGTGGCTTATAACTGAATTGTATTTGATCTCACACAGTTTTATTTACTTACATATATCTTCTTGATTATCTTGTCACATTTTATTATCTTTTTTATTTTATCAATTTTATGATCGTGATATTTTCCCGTCTTGAATTCAACATTTTCACCATTTTCCTGTGTTTCCTCGTAACGACTTCATGTTAGTGTTTTCTCTGTCCATCAGTTCCTGTTTTTATCCGGTTCTCTATTCATGACATATTTTTAACCTTGTGCATACATTGTAAGGGAGGGGGGGGTTAGGGTCATTTCGTTGCTTAATGATTTGGTTGTATTTTAGAACTTTGCGCGTCATTATTATTGTATGAAAAAAGGCTTATTTGGATTTTTTATGCCTCTATTTAGAGATATGACAGTGGAGAGTCAGAAATCAGAGAGAGAGAGAGAGAGAGAAAGAGTGGGGAATGACATGCAGGAAAGGAGCCACAGTTCGGATTCAAACCCCGGCTGCCCACTTGGAGGCCTTCGTAGATGGGCTGTGCGCACTAACCACGAGGCTACCAGTGCCCCCTTTTCATGCTTTTTTTTGTACCTAAAGCAACTTTTTTATTTCAATTACCTTTCTGATTGCCATCCAGAAAAATAAAACTCAAGAGTATAAACAAACTAAAGGAACAATGAAGGATGTGGGTGAAAATGATGTAAGATAATTAACAATTAAAATAAGTTCCAATATGATAACTGGTATGATATAAAGGTACTTTGTAAAACACATGGGACTGGGCTGTACAGCAGTATGTCGGTCCTCCAGCAAACACTGGAGAGATTTTAAGCTGAAAGAAACAAGAAGGTCTCGATGTCAAAATATTTGTTTTTATGACTCATATGTTTTAGTCACATGTGTTTTTCCGGCTTTAGGAAGTCAACATGTCCGCTGATGATAAAGTCTGCAGAGGAAACAAGTTAATAATAAAGGTCCAGATTTCATACTCAATCAGAGATCAATCATTTGGAATTAAGCTTGATGCTGAGCCTTGATTTAGGGTTTGTTCAAGCTGTGAAATTGGATGAAAAAAATATTCTAAACTGCTGAGTTAAGCATTTATATCTCTAAAAACACTTCTTTATTATGATAAACATGGGACTATTGCTGCTCTGCACTAAGTGCTTTTTTGACAGATTAATTTCTGTTTTCTTTTTGGTTAAATCTGCACGGCACAAGCAGCATTTTAATTATTATTATTATTATTATTATTATTATTATTATTATTTCATGGGCTGTAAATATGCTGCGTAGTCAGGACAAGGCCTTGCTTCAAAAACAACGTTATGGGAAGTTGCTGTCACCCTCGGGAGACTTTAGTTATTGAGCACCTAGCAACTTGGTAAATAAATTTGAGTCAACCTCATAAAGAAGCAGAAGTAGAAATAATGTGTCCTCAAAGTCATGAGAGAAAATGCCACTTCAGCAGCGTCGTCTTCAAAACGAGCTGGCTAAGCCATCCTCGGTCACAACACCGTCTCTGAATCAGTGCTGAAATTTAAAACATTCTTCTCTTATTTCTCACAGCAGTCTTTGATTCTCAAACATTTTTATCTGATTTAGTTGATTTATTTTACCAGATTCAGATCTCTTTCACAATGCTGACCCGGCCAAGAGAGCAGCAGCACACGTCATAAAAAACATGACGCAATTAAGAAACAGTTCACAAACAATAAGTGAAGGATGTGCACATTGGTTTGTAAATAAAGTGCAGAAAAACACATCAGGCACTGATTGCAGCACGGCGTCTGCTTTTGGCTTTCTATACTCATTCAAATGTAACTTCAACAAAATATCATCATGAATGTTCATTGGCTTAATGACGCTGAAATATAATCACTTTTTTTTTCTGTAAATTAATGAATTGTTTGTTCGAACTGACAGGGAGGCAATGAAGAGATACGAGGAGCTGTCAGAGATATTCTCAGACAAGGACAACTATGCACAAAGCAGAGAGCTCTTGAAGGAGGTGAGTTTCTGTCAACACAGTTTACAAGTTAACAATGGAAGTTTAGAAATGAGTCTCTAGGTTTAGGACAGGAACTCTGCTCTGGATTAAGACATTATTTATTCGATACAGTTTAAAGGAAGAATGTGCGACATGATGTTACACATAAATACAGCAGAAATTTAGTCTATCCTCTGTAAATGTCTCTCAGAGTCATGACTGTCTACAAGGAGTGAGAAGCTCGAGTCCGGCTGGCTGTGTTGTTGTCAGAGCCGTGTTTACATGGACGGCCGGCTCCTCCCATTGTGTATAAAAGCTGTTTTAGTCAAGGACTAGAGAGAAGAAGAAGAACAAACTCACTGCTTATTTGAATGTCACGTAAGATCATGTCAACTTATATGCAATGTGATGCTATGAGCTAACCAAAGTGTGCTAACACAAAAATGCAGGCCACAGACAATTGCAGCTCGAGCTAAGGACAATTTTTTGTGTGCTGCTTGCACTTAATGGTGCGTTCTAATCTCATAACTCCTTCATGCAAACTTGATTGGAGGGAGGTCGGAGGAGTGCCGCTGGAGGCTTCAGAATAGGGGCCAAACAGCCAAAAGTTGCACATTCTTCCTTTAACAGAGCTGGCTCAGTGAGAAGTGGGATCTTGTGTTGATGTCACTCAGAGGCTGGGCTATGCTTGTGTCACCAGTCTTAACGATTTATTCTAACGTCTTCAGTTTAGACAAAGTGTTTTCTAGATATCTCGTCGTGTAACTGCATTAAATTAAACTGGCTACTCAGAGGTTGATGAACCAGTTTCTTGTGCTGGAAAGCTGCCGGTTTAATATGTCAAACAAAGGGCCGCAGTGCTAAGCAGTTAGATTTTAACAACTCTTCTGGAATATCGATCACGCTATTTTTACCCTGATCTGTGTTCTGCTTGCTCTTTACTGCTCGTCTTTTCGCTGCCTGCCTAAAAATAACTTCAAAGATACACTTCTCTCTCTGACTTCCAACCTGTCACTTCAAACACTTTGAGTTTAAAACTGAATATGTAACAAAGAGAAACACACTGCAGCTCTTTGTTTCAAACTCCTTTCACAATTTTTTTTTTACCCATAACTCAAAAACATCACAGCGTTGGACCAGATCTTAGCAATGACAGATATTTTAGCTTTCACTGTAAAAAACAGAATATCACACTCTAAAATTCTTGATTTAAGATAAGATACAACTTGTTTAATCCCAAAAGAAATGATTGAAAATGAACTAATGAGCATGAAGCAGGATGTTCTGAATGAATGTTTGCCATCTCGGTTTAGTACCGGCATTATTAATGCATGTAAAAGTTTGCAACCACAAACAAAGAAATACACAACATACAGCCGAGGTTGATGGGAGTTTGGTCAAACTCCAAAACATTTTGACAAATGATGACATTAAAGGAGCACCCACGTTTTACAAATTCACCCTTTAGGCCACATTCCTGTCCAAAACTTCAAGTCAATCCTCCACTTTTTTTCAGAAATTTTACAAAAAAGTAAATATAATGTTGGCTTTAGATATAAATTGCCAACATCATGAGCTTGAAACAGGATGTACATAAGACTTAAAAGTCTACAGCTAAACTAGCAGATATATGAGGTTCTACAACTCACTTAACGGACGCTTTTATCAAAAGCGATGTTCATCAGAGAGTAAGTACAACAAAAGCAATGATCTAGAGAGGAGGAGACACACAGGTGCTAACAGGCATTGCACAGAGGCAAAGCACAACATTGATGGCAGTTCTTGTGAGCTCTAATCAGTATAGAAACCATCTTAAAAATCGTCGTTATCAAACAAAACCATCATCATCATCAAGGTCTTAGGTAATCATGAAAGAGCTGGGTCTTTAGCTTTTTCTTAAAGGTGCAAAGGGACTCTTTTGGTTTTGAGCTAAATATACTTATGTCAACATTAGCTAAAATTCTCCTCTTCTGGGGCCGTATTCACAGACATCCTTTCACTCTAAGAGAGCTCCTTACTCAGTTTAAAACATTCCAACAAGAAGTCCTAGCTTCAGAGTGACATGGAGCAACTCTGAGTGAGGAAGGGACAGAAACTTTTATCAACTGAGTCCTGTTGCCTTCGGATCAAGCTTCGATTAACCATGACCTGGAGGACTGAGGACTTACATAAACTTACAATCTTAGTGAGGAGGTGTGACCCCGTTGTATGACATATTCAGCAGATGGCTGTTCAACATGAGCCTGGTTCTGCTCAAGGTTTCTGCAAATTAAAAGGTATTTTTTTATTTCCACTGTAACTTAGCTAAATGTCGCTTAGTGCTCATGATGGATTTCTGTTCTGTCTTTTTAAATTATATAACCGATAACGAGCTCCTCTTTGGACTGTGGGTGGAAGCTGGAGTACCTGGAGGGAACCCACATATGCACGTGGGGGGGGGGGTTATCAGAATCTATCAAACAATTTCCATGATTTTTCAGTCTGGCATTGCTATATGATATCCCTGGAGCCTCCCATCATGCACGGTTATAAACAGAATACAGTACATGCTGACAGCAAACATACTGAACAGTTTTGTCTGTCAGGTCTCTAACGGCAGCTCTGAAGAACGACATAGCTCTTATAAACGTTGACTGATATCTCACATCCCGGGGAAGAGCATTCGTAATTTGATTTTATTAATGCGACTGTCAAGTGCCACCACTGGACCACATTTGTTAAATCCTAACTGCACAGGCTGAAGCCGAGCCTCCTCCTCCTCAGCCGCAAACAGCATTTAGTGGTAGAGATTTATGACTGCTTTTAAGAGCAGAAACCAGTCTAATCCGGTTGAGCACAAGTGCCCTTATTCTGTCAACACTTTCTCTTCAGAGTGAGAAAGCATCTGAAGACGTACATTATATTTAGTTTGTGTCAAAGAGCTGGGGAAGTTGGCAGGATTAGCTGTGTTTTGATTCGCTGCTATGGTGCACTGCAGACATCAATACCTCTGCATTAGCGTGTGATTTTACCCACGATACCCCCAAAGGAATTCATCCAAACATTTGCTTTCATTTTTTCGTACGCTCCTGCGTGAGCTTTGAATTCAGAAAAAAACACCCCTCGCCTTCTGTTGCCCTTTGATTTCTCTCGGCACAGTTACGGGCTCACCTTCATCTCGCTGTTTGTCTAAAAATGACTTCGACGAGCAGACGAATGATTCTCACAAATGAAAAAAAAAATCTCGCTAAAAGTTTGGGATAAATAAATGCAGCACTGAAGAATTGAACAAAGAGGCACTTTAAGATTTAGCATGATTATGACAGGAGAGGCCTCCTCTGCTGATGCTGAGGTGTCGTGTCTGTAACTCTAAACTGAGCAGTGACAAAGATTTATGAGACAAGCATGGCAGGCTGAGGTTTGATCTGATTCAATGGGACACTTTGTTTTTCAGGGCCCGACGGATATGGTATTTTTTGGGCTGATATTAGGGGGAAACAATCTGATACAAATAAATCGGCCGATATCTTTCTTAGATCTATCTTCAATCTGTATGATAGAAATAGATACACATATTTATTGCAGGGATCCCTCTAATACAGTTATCAAACCCAACTGGAAAGTAACCGTGCATGTTCATTCATCACCACTTAACACTCTGGAGAGTAATAATGCTTGTTAAGATAAGAGATAAGATATCTTTATTGTCAGTGTACAAGTACAATGAAATATTGTTGGAGCAAGCCTGTAGATGCCTAATATCAGAAATATACAAATATAAATACTAAAAAACTAAAATACTAAAACCAAATATAATAATGCTTGTTGTCATCCATATTGTGCCCTCTGCTGGTGAAAGAGAACTGCTAGTTTAATACAATGATACTCAAATGAAATGCTGTTTGACTGGTGAATAAATCAAGAAATATCAGTGGATATCTGTGATTAAATTAGCCGATACCGACATTTACTTCATATGCTAATATCAGCGGATATTATCGGCTGTACTTTCTATAATTGAATATTTCTATCTGCCTGAATATCTATACTTACTTAAAAAACATGTAGATGCATAATGTCAAAATTTCGCATTGAAATCAGTTGCAAAGGAACTAAAACTCCAAAAGAATCATGTGGCTGCGTAACTGCTGGATACATAATCTGTTTCTAGTTGCTTACAATATATATACAAAAAAGTCAGATTTATATTATAAATATATAGTAAGTCCATTTTCAAGATGTTTTGATCACATGACCTTCTTGAGCACGTGGAAGAACTCGTCGTCAACATTAACTCTGAAGTAATTTTATGCGTTGCTCCTAGTGCACTGAACGAGATTGTTGCAGAATTGTAGGGTACTACATCCTCTTTTAATCTTTTTATATCTCTTTTAGAACGAGCTTATTCTATAAATATTGAACTATGTTTGTATTTTAATCTTCCATTTGTGTTTTATCTCCCCCTGGATGTTTCTTATATTTGTGTGGGGCACATTGAGTTGCCTTTTTGTCTGAATTGATCTATATAAACAAACATCTAAACAAATGAATCACAGTTTGTCTTTTTGTCTTACAGGAGGGCACGTCAAAGTTCGCCAACATCGATACCAGACTCAACCACAGACACATAAACCGGGTAAGTGGAGTGGAAACTTGGTGGCTTTTTAGCTTTTAGGGGGGGAAAGGCTTGTTTATGGAAGTTCACATGGTTGATCATTTAGGTTACGGTCAATGCACTTTGTTGTCAGCATACTGGAAACCACTGGTTTGTTGTTGGACAGGGCAGCTTTATATTCTGCAAAGAAGAATAACTTTAACATTTTAAATTTATCCTCAAAAGTGTTTCAAATCATTCGGGGGTCACCACGGCATTTTGAAATGTTCCAAGTCACGGAGGAGTAATTTAAAATTACTTCACCATTTGTCGCTGAGGCAAAAACCTTAGATCTCCGAGCAGATCAGATGGAACAAATTTCAGAAACCTAACATCCAAAAAGTCTGGCATGCATACCAATCTCTTTAGCCTGAAGGGTTGTACATCCCCGCGGGCCTTAATGGGAGACCTTGGCAAGTTAAGGGATGATGCAAGACTGTGCAAAAGTCTCATTACTATTGTAAAAGTTAGAGGGACACAATGTGGAGTCATTTCTGTAGAAAAAAGATCTGTGGATAAACATGCAAGGAAGTGTCCTTTAAAGTCGTATAAATCTTTGATGTAGTTCATCTTTAATCGATTATTATGAATCTTAGTATACACGGTGCGTTCTCCTTTAAGTTCAGGATGTGGAAACATGCGAGTTGGATACAGATTTTTTGTCATTCAGTCATAATTAATAAAAAAGCTCTATGATTTTAAGAGAGTTTAATAAAGGATCTGCATTCAGACACTGATACTGGTGTCAGTTTGGCTAAGCAGGGGGTGTTTCAGCGGTTTGATGCAGGGTTGTAAGGGGGCTCGACTGGCATGCAGCAGCGAAGAGGAACAGAGGGCTGTTGCGTGTGTGTATTTGTGTGTGTGTGATGTGCTGAATCCTGAGCCATCGTTTGAAAAATAGCTGCAGGCGGCCGCTCTGAAATCCCTCTCTGTGTGGGCTCTTTTACGATGTGAAAAGGAAACCTCAGGGGAACGGATGAAACACTCTCTCTCTCTTTTTTCTTTTTTCTGACACAGACTAACGCCCAGGGCACTGTGCCCTACCTGGGAATCTTCCTCACAGACCTCACCATGCTGGACACGGCGGTCAAAGACAGGCTGGATGTAAGTTCCTCTCATGTCTATTAAAGGGGGGAGAAGCTTGTCACAACACCTGAGAGTTGTTGTGTATTTTACAATTATCACACTGACATGACACGCCCTGCCACCACTTTTACAGAACGGCTACATCAACTTTGACAAGAGGAGACGGGTGAGTGTTGCATTAAATATGAATACGTACATCTGTTATAATGCTTAAAGCTCCTATGAGGAATTTAAGGCCGGTAATGAAAGAGACTTTAATTCTTCTCTATGCTGCTCAATGACCCACAAAAGCAACAAGGATGATTATTTTGAAACAGTTATTTTTAATGCTCGCAAATGATGCTGCAGGTTAGGTGTCAGACCAGCCTGCAGAAAACAGCCTTTGTTTTACAGTTTTCTAGGTTCTCAGTGAGTGATATGTTTGACTGTTAAATGCAGAATGAGAGGTTTTTTTGGGGTGAAATAACTTCTTATGCATGTACGGGACAATAGGAGCTATAAGTAAAAAATAAAATAAAAAGTCTCTGATGCTAGTTTAACATGAGCAGCAGTGAGCGATGCTTTTGTGGAAAGATCCTGCTGAAGAGTAGAAAAAAGACAGGTGGGGTAATGTCTGAGATAAGAGCCTGTTAGAGCGAGCAGAGGTAACGTAATACCTGAGGGAGGAAATGATAAAGTGGAGGGCGCTGCGGGGAGCACGATGAGGGGATTAAAAGAAGAATATTACCAGATCAGTCAACACCTCTGCCGTGTTTTGTGTTATGAAACTTTCCGTCTCGTTGTTAACAGGAGTTTGAGGTTTTAGCCCAAATCCGGCTCCTGCAGTCTTCCTGCAAAAATTGTGTTTTCACCGCTGACGAGGCCTTCACACAATGGTATCAGAGCGTCCCCACACTAACAGAGGAGGAGAGGTATCTATGCATCTACTTCCTCAGTATTTGCTCTTATTGAATAGAAAAATAAATTGTTGGATTCATGTTTGTATTTGTAGGATGATTATATTTTTGGGGTTTATCGTTTCAGCTATAGACTGTCCAGTGAAATAGAAGCGCCTAGCGAGCCGAGCCCCCGTTGCCTTATGCCGACAGTCATCATCACACAGTGCCCAGAGTAAGATATGCACAACACACGCACGCACGCACGCACGCACACACACACACACAGAAAATACCACATTATCAAAATTCATATTATGTAAACTACGACCCAGTTTCCAAAGAAGTTGGGACGCTGTGTTAAATTATAAGTTATTTTCCAAACATTGAAACTCCACATTTAATTGAATATAGCACAAAAACGACATGTCAGATGTTGAAACTGAGAGATGTCATTGTATGTCATTGAAAGTTGCTACAGGGGTCATGTTAAAAACTCTGATGTTCACTTTTTCTTTTAGCAACACTTTGTCAGCGTTTTGAAACTGAGGTGACTACTTGCTATAATTGTCAAAGTGGAATGTTTTACCCTTCTTGCTTAATATAGGATTTCAGCTGTTTAATAGTTCAGGCTCTCCTTTGTCTTATTTTACATCTGATAATGCTCTGAACATTTTCAATGGGAGACAAGTCGGGACTGCAGGCGGGCCAGTTGAGCACCTGGACTCTTTTACTAACAGAGCCATGCTGTTTCACAAAATCCAGAAGCAATATGAAATGGGGTTGTAGGATATATAGGTCTGTGGTCGAGGTCATCTTGGCCACTTGAGTGATTTTTACGCATGAAGTTGAGTTTTTCTCACGTCAGAGACGAATATTCAGAGTGTGAAAACTGTTGTAAAATATCTTCAAGTGGCTCCTAAAGAGCTTCCCAGAGTGTGACTGATGTGAGCATTTACCAGGCAGGAAGAGTCTGATGGAACTTGCTGTGAAGTAGCATTACGGGAAGAAATTGTGATTTCCAGCTATAGATGAATTAAATTCACATGACATGAAGAGGAGGAGGTTCGGTCCTTGACTGTAAAAATAAATCGGAAAATCTCGGCTCTGCTGCTTCAATTCAGACCGTTCCTTTCAGCGGGGCCAGACAGGTCACTCCTGCTGCAGCTTTTTTTCACCTTAGTGGGATGAAATGTATCTCTCACAGGCACCTTTATGTTATGAAGTGTAGTACTTCATCACTAAAGTATCAGCACAGTCAATATCAGATGGAATCAGTATTTTATTCACTTCTAGTCCATTAAGACGTTATTCATATTTTAAACTATCTACTAAGATAAATAAAGAGGTTATCAAAACAATTTTCTAATGAAAGCTTTCTGTTTTGACATCGTTATTAATCGAACATTTTGAGTTGTGAGTCGTTTTTTTTGCGCAAAAAAAGCTCCAGCTGGCTTTACCTATATGCTTTTGGTAACACTAAAGGAAATTTCTGACATTATTTCAATGATTATAAAAAAAATTATAGCTGGAGAGAATAATGAATGAATAAAAAAAACAACTTTTGATCCAACCTTAATATACATTTGTTTCATGTGTTGACAGCCTCAGTACCTCCCGGACCAGCCTGCATGGTGACAGCGACAGCCTCTTTGACTTCCCTTCCCCGGTAAACAACCTGCTGTCAAAACTCACAAAGGTAATAAATTATGAGTAACATTTTTAGGACAGGTTTGAACTCATATCAGCTCGTTTTCACAGACCCACAAAATGTGAAATAAACCCATCCAGTCCTTTGTTTGTGGTCTGCATAAGTCTTACAACACAGAGAAAAATGCTCCATTTCAAATGTGGTCTCCTTGTGATGTCACAGTGGGATTCTGGTAAAAAAAAGAAAGAAAAAGAATCCCCTGGTATCTCCACCCATGGACTCCACCCCCAGCCTAAAACAAAACTTTTGCCCAGGTCCGCCATTTTTATTCTCGCTACAGAGGAGTGATGTCTACGGGAAAACTGAGGGCGAGGTCATTGCATTTAAAGAGACACACACACCAAAACGGAGCGTTCTGAGAGAGCTGGTTTATACAGGGCCACAAACCTCCTCTGGTGCTTGATTCATGTTATAATTTGACCAAAGCACAGCACAGATGTTTGAGTTAGACCACAGGGGACTGTTTGAAAAGCTGAAAAAAGGGGGATAATATGTCCTCTTTAAATATTCGAGCCAGCAAATTGAACTTAAGAAATTATACAAGAGAAAACATGAATGTGACTGTGATCATAATTATTTTAATTATATGTTCTGCAGCACATGAGATCTCCATCTGTGTCCTGTCTGGATGTCGACACGTCTCCCCCGACTAACGACTCCACCCCTGCCACGCTGACTCCATCCAGTCCCACAAAATCACACCGCCGATCAGCCTCCTGCGGCAACAACCCCCCTAATAATGTCCAAGGATCAGGGCCCGACATGCGAATCATCAGGATACGGATGGACCTGCACGATGGAAACCTGTACCGAAGCATTCTGGTACTAACTCAAACTAATTGAGTGTAATTTATAGCAGCGTTCAGATTGTTGAAATAGCTCTGCCCTGAATTATCTGTGCCTCAGTGCACTTACAGCCTGTCCTCTTATCTGCAAGAGATCCCGCTAATGATAGTCATCAGAATCTGATCCTCGGGGTACAATGGACCCGGGATATCATTAGTGCGAATCAAGCTGTCCGAGTGTCATTGTTATTCTCGTCTCTCCCCTCAGGTTACGAGCAATGACAAGACCCCCACTGTGATCAGCTCTGCCTTAGAAAAGCACAATCAGGACCCCAAACAGGCACCCAAATACGAGCTGATCCAGCTTCAGCCTGAAGGAAAAGGTAAAGACATATTTCAAGTGCAAGAAAAATCAACCACTCAACCACCCGCAGTACAGATGAAAATGTTCATCATGTTTCTGGCCTCCTTCGATGATATGACGTTGTTTTAATGGCAAACAATAACAAAAGCATGTTGTATTTTTTAGGACTCTGAAATCATGGTAAACTTAAGGCCAGACATCTTGTGGCAAATTGTTTTGTGTTTCTTTAACCAATCAGAAAGGTCCAAAAGGATTAGACCAAGGGAGTAATAATTTTAGTCTTTTTTTAGTTTTTGTTCTGGGCTCAATGTGTAAAAACAGATTTCAACAAGATTTGCTTTGATAGAAAGTCAAAAAAGATACTTTTTGGTGTAGATATTGATCGATCAGGATTATTTCTATGTGATATAGAAACTACTTTACTTACTCACAAGTGGATGAGAGGTATGCAGCCATGGAGACGATGGGAGCGCAATAGCCGGGAAAAACAAGCAGAGGGTATTTTACAAGGAGGTGTGGGAATCACAGCGTAACTCATGATACCATGATAACGATTATATCACGATACAGCCATTCTGTAATAACTGTTTTATCACAAGACAATCATACACTGACACATTATCATGGCTGATTAACTAGAGAATGCAATTTTGTTCAGGATTCATTCATTTATTCAGTGCACTTGGGTGTCTGTGTTACCTCTTAACATGCTTCAAACTTAAACGTCTTTGCACCACTGTCCGGCCCATGCCCAGGCACGACCTCTAGATGTTGGGGTTCATGGTTAGTGCCTCGAGACTATTAGGGTGATGCCTGATGTGAACGATATCTGCAGTGCAGCAGCATGAAGAAACTTTACTGAATTAGGATTCTGTCTCTCTCGTTGTTTCTACACAGAGCTAGTCATCCCTGCAACAGGAAACGTCTTCTACGCCATGACGTCATCCAGCGTCGACTTCCTGTTGAGAAAGAAAGGCGGAAACACTCCTCTGGGCTCACAGCCAATCAACACAGAGACGAGCGCCACTTTTCCTCGAATCAAGGCCAAGGGGAGGAGACTGGTCCGGACTTTATTTTGACACCAGACTTTCCTCGACTGAACTTTGTCCGCAGTTTTTTTTTTCATGGAGTTCTGACATGAATGCAGGGCGAGCTCTTACTAACAGCAATCGTGGCCTTCTCTGTGCAAAAAAATAAACAATCTGCATATGCCTTTCTTCCACGCTCCTGCAAAGCTTCCTCCAAGACTCCATGGCAGGTTTTGTCCAACCCTTAAGACCTCCAGCTGCCCTGCTGTGTTCACCAGAGGAATCTGCTGCTGAAGAGCGGTGACACTTTTCCTCTTTTAGGAAAAAATATGCATGACTGATTTACACCAAGAGGAGGAGCAACGGGAAAACCTGTAACAGACGACTTTTGGTGCTGGCTCTTCATTTTCATTCAGGTTGCACTTGAAGCATTTATTTCATTCCAACTCAATGAATAAGATCTCCTTTAATTCCTTGTCTTTACGAGGACATTCCTTGTTGTTGCGTGCCTGAGTTGTAAGTGACGCTTCCAAATGTTAAGAAATAGGAATCTGTGGTCACCCAGGACACAGTGGAAAGCTGAAGAACAGTGTTTTTGTAAAGAGAGAAGTATATTTCAATCTGAATATACAAATCTGTCAGATCTAGTTATGGTAAAAAAAAGCAAACTAGCACACAAGAGAGAGACTTAAAGACGCAGTGCGAGTGCATTATTGTAGCAAAACACTGGAGCTTGTCAAAAGAGACTTTTTGTATATATTAATATATATTTGTACACGTGAATGATGTCAACATTGTGTTTACACTGACGAGGAGCTGGATGTGTCCAATAACTAATTAACAAGGAAAACAGCTGAAAAAAAACCTGCAAGATTCTGACTAAGAAAGACGCCAGCATGTGTCGACAAACCGCGAGCATTTACTCGGCTTAACCTCCAGCAGATATTCATCACAACACAGACTTAAAGATGCATTAATCACCATTATTGCAAATAATGATTTGAATTATGATTTAAATTATCAAAGGAAGACAAAAAAAAGTAGAGATCAACTCTGCAGCTCGACAGATCATTTATGCTAATTTAAGCTAACCGTTTATCTTTCAGGGTTTATTGAAATGTACCGAGGGGTTTGTTCAGACCACTCTCAGGAGTTGTTAGAGACAAAACAAGATCTTAAAGGAAAAATAAACTTGCACTTATTTTATCAGATGGACAGACAAACAACTAAATATTTAATTTTTTAGCCTCATTTGCATGTAGGCAGCTATTTGCTAACGCATTAGCAGTAACCTCTTAAAAGGCGGGAAATATATCGTTTTTCTGACCCCTAGTGGCCATAAGTGGATGATTGCAGCTTTAAAAACACTCAACAGCACTTTAAAGCTTTTTTTTGCGTCGCCTCAGAGCAGAGAGGAAAATCTAAATAACACCTTTATTATTAAGTTTAAAGTTACCAGGTCTAAATGTTTTTTAACAGGGCATAAGCTAAACTTATTTAATGACCCACAGCTCAGCAGGACACATCTTCACTGCTTTTTTATATACAGTATGTATGTAATGAATTCAAAGGGTTAACTTCAGTGTGAATCATGCAACCTCTTTGGATATGTTGTGGACTAGGATGAAGTCCGGTGACCTCTGGTTGAGACCGGCTCAGTGCTGGTGAGGCTTCCTGCAGGCTGAAGCACGAGCGCCGATCGACCGGGGAGAGGATTCTTCAGATAACGTGTGCTCGAGTTATTCCATGTTACTGAGTGTTTTAGTGCCTTTTTCTCTGACGGATGCTAATCTTACCCATGTTTGCATTAGAATGTATTCAGTATACACATTGAGAAGATGCAGTCATGTCGGCGCTGTGTTGTCTCTTATCAAAGCTGTTTATGCACTACACACAGGATGTCCTATTTTTGTGGTAATAAATTTACTTTTATATGAATCTAATTTCTTTTTGACTGATGTGTGATGACATATTCCACGCTCGATATACCCACATGCTGCTGAGCGTCCCATCAAAAGCTATTTCAGTAGTCTCTCTATGTCTCATAGTTCTATATTTCATGACAGAAGGTAAACAAAGCAAGGTGAGTGTACACAAGCAGCAACAAAAAAACACCTCGGTTCAAGCCTTTATATTAAGATTCAAGATAGCCAGCATCTTTATTTTCAAGCAAATCATTGTCAGAATGTGAATGAGTGTATTTGTAGATGTGATATGAAGTCCAGAACGTCTCAGACACATTACAATGAGAAGGTTCTGGATACATCAAATTACATTTAAAAAGCAAAGACGATCAATTATCAGGTAAACAAGAGAAATATTCATAAAACATCAAGTTTTAAAGCACCCTCGTCTGTAGATTATTGTCGTCTCATAAGTGTGAGCATGTTCTGATTGTGTCATAGTCCTCATAGTTCAAACAACCTAACCAGCCCACTTGGAAACTCAGGAAAGAATAGGTGCCCGACTTGCCGGCTTGACGTCAGAATCGTTATCACATGGGGAGCAAAATATATATTTTTTTAATGTTAACATACTTTTTCATTAATTCAGGTTTTGCACATCAACTTTTAACAGAGACATTCCACAGATTTTCATCTTAGCGTCTACACTGTTTTTTTGACTTTCCGAGATCACTTCAACAAACTGAAGTCGGAAGAACGACTTCCCAACTCGGAAATTTGGACCACCCGAGCAGCTCATGAATGCAGCATCATTGGCTGATATATATGTGGATGTATTTGATTGGTTGTCTTTATACAGTATTTTAGATTTGTTTTGACCTTTTTCTCCATTTCGTTCCTCCCCTATTTAAATTATGTTTTAATGTGTTTCTTGATGACCCTGATGAAGGCCACAAGCTGTTACACATCAGTCTAATTTGTTAATAGAGTTGATCTTCATACTACAGGTGTAGCTGGAGCATTTTGACCTCTTTGTACATTCACAATCAGCAACGCTCAGTGCGCTCCCTGAGATCACAGCCACAGATCTGCCTCATGTTGATTTTAACAGGAATACTTTGAGTTTGTGAGGCAGCACTTGTACAGTCTAAAGTTTCTCCTGTTCACTTTAATTAGAGCCCAGTGGTCATAAAGACTCTTAAACAAAGGCTTTCAGTAAAAGTGGCACTTTGTGGTTTTTGTATTTGTCAAAGTGAACACCACATATCCCTTAAAGCACTTTATTTCCTGTCAGTTTGGACTATTTCTACTCCACCAGCGATTTTTTCTGTGAGCATTTAGTTTGAAGAGGAGGATGTTAAAGCCCTTGGAAACTGTCGGTAACCATTTTAAACTAGTGAATGACCGGGTGAATGGTGCCTCAAAGGCCCCTGAAAAACACATTTGATCATTTCTGATTCGTGCTTCACTTTGAGTGATGGGATTTCTGGTGAACGCCATCAGTTCTAGTTAGATATTTCTATATTTCTTTGTTTTCTGTGCTTTCAGAGCAGTGACAAGTATTTGGAAACATTAGTATCAAACATGAGTCGTTTTGATTTAATTTCACCAGACATTAACTGACTTAAATTGTGCCAAATATTTTCAAACATTTCTCATAAAAATTCACATATTCTAAACTCTCCCTCTTTTTACCCATGATGCCCTTTCCTTAAGCCTAGTCGACCCACCTTGCTCCAGCAGGGCGTCAACACTGGATCGTTGTTCCTCCACACGCCTCACACTCTTGCGCTGCATTCCGGTAAGCCTTCCACACCACAGGGTCCTGCAGACATACCGTACCTCCGCCACGCTTCTCCTCCGCCTCGTTGCGGTTTATGTCTCCCACGCACACCCAGCCTCCTCCAGGACCGGACCCCGCCGCGTTGGGGCTTACAGCCCACTTGGAGTGATCCTGGCTGGCCTTGAAGGTGAACGACTGGCCCGGGTTGATGACCTTGATGTCCAGGACCTTCCAGCCCTGCGAGCAGTCAGAGGGGAGGATGCCGGTGGAGTGAATCCAGAACTGCACCAGGAGGTCTGACTGGAGGAAGGGGGCCACCCAGGAGTGATACAGGTCTGATAAAAGATGAGAACATGTTTCTTTAATTACCATTTGTCCTGAAACTTCCTGCATTTCCCTAAAGAGTGTTAGGACCAAACTTAAAAAAAAAGAAACAATGAGAGGAGGAAGATTTTTTTCCAGATTTGATGAGCTCAGCAGAAACGTTGAGAACAAAGTAACACTTTCAGAAATGGTGCCAAGTATCAAAAAAATGTAATTAAAGGAAGATTTTTCTTTTTGATCTGGCACCACTACAAAACAAATGACATTATTCTATACTATAATAAAGTATACGGCCTACACCTGCTTTTTTTAAAGACACATTTTTTTTTAAATTGGCGCCATACAAATTGAAATTGATTGATTGATTGATTTTCAGTATTTTGACTTTAACTTTTCAACTGTGTATACAGGATAAGTGTTGAATTATGGCCGGTATGCCCGACTTTAACAGTCTTCTGTCTACTGTCTTACATTAAATAAAATTCACTTTTAATGTGGGGTGGTGTCTGTGGTATATGTTCATGTTTTTCAGTTTTGTCCGAATGTTACACCTTTCTGTTAAGGAGCTGGGCAGTTAATCGCAGACACTCTGGATATAACATTTAATTTCTCTTTCAACTTCATGCACCTTGGAAACAAACCCTGAAGGTCTCAGTAAAAGAGACAAACATCTTTTGAAGATTTCCATGGTCACAAGTTCAAAAAAATTATTCACAAAATGCTGACTTCAGAGGAATCCCCCCCACCATGAGTCTCTTTATAAACATCATTAACTCTCTGATGTATGGAGATGGGAGAGGGAGATACAGGGTAAAATGGGAATGCTACATAGACTCTTAAATATGTATTTCTGTATGTCTGAATGTCTGTGTGTGCATTCAACTGCATTGTGAACTGTGCCTGTATTTTGCAAAGATTATACTGTAACATCCAAGCCCTCATGTGCTCTATGCTCATATCAAAATCAAAGTAAAAGAAACTAAATCAAAAGAAGGTTTTGACACTGTAACAGTTACATAAGCCTATCTATACCTACAAACTCAAGGTGAAGGGGGGACTAGATGAAGGGTGGCTGGAGTCGACTTTAAACGACTCTCATCTCTGAAAGTTAGTCGTACCGTTGTCAAAAGAAGCCCCTTTGGCAAAGTTGATGAAGTTGGTGCCGTCCTTTGAGGTGAGAGTCACGCTGCGATTAGCCACGGGTTTGACGTGCGGAGCGACGTGACCCGGCAGATGTTTCTTCTCACAGACGGCAGCCAGAGCGGGCACCAGGGACGCCAAGGACTCGGGGACATCACAGTCGTACACATTAGGCTGATTGATCTGAAGCTGCTCTCCTGTGGTGCGAAACAAATTGGATTTAAGACAAACGCTGCTAAAGGCTCTGCAGAATTACCGTTTTCATTAAGTACAGTAAATGAAAAGCATCGTCTGTGTGACATTGGTGCAGAGGCAGGGCAACAACCGAGCACCCAGTTCTAGACATACAGACATAGAAACTTACTGCAAGGAGAAAAGTCCATTAATCGATCTTTTTGGATTTATTGTTTTAAGCTTATAAAGATAACAGAAGCACATCCCTTAGTGGGTGCTGGATCCAAAACGAACGGGCAATTAGATCCGCACACCAGGGAGCTCCCGTTAAAGGATTTAATGTGGTACACCTATTCTGCCACCCCATTGGACGGATTAAAAGATCTATGGCAGGGCTACTCAACTCTATTGTCAAGGGGGCCAAATGTTCAGAAAGCTAAGGAACCGAGGGCCAGACAAGCGAGCCCACCACAGCAGTTCAGTGCGAGAAAGCTGATTCCCCCCCCCCAACAACACAAGCTTGTGATAGGCTGAGAGCACAGGACCAAAGATGTTCTATTGAATGGGAGCGCTGTGCTGTTTGAACACTTTACTGTGGCAACAATGACAGTCGTTCACAAGTCAATCCGACCTGTGGCTCCTTTCCCCACCATCTCTCTGCGGTCCTATCTTTCCAATAAAGGGATAAAAAAAAGCCCAAAAATAAATCGTAAAAAAAAAAAAAAAAAAAGAAAGCTCTTTGGTTATCCTTAAACTGATAGTTATGAACAAATTCCAGAAAAACATTCTAGCCCTCACAGTGTGGATCGAGCGTTTTAATGTATGTCACATCCCAGTTCATTGATGTGCAAATTGATGCTGCGAGGAGCTCTGAGATGAGATGTGACGAGGCTGTTATCACCTTCTGTGCTTTGACAAAAACTGTTATTCCGCACGCCTTCATGTCACCCCGGACACTGTCGCACTCTCAGCGTCCCAGCTGGAGAGACACCAATCTGATGGAGCACACGAATGCCGCAGTGTGAGTGCCGATATCTCTATGGTAACATACCTCTCTACCTAATTACATTACCCCCGAGCAACTGTGCCAACTGCTGGGTCTGCCAGGGAACTACACAGGCGGCGCGGCGTCATGGCGCTGACACCTGTTTATGCTGATTATTTTGGAGTGCGATTGTTGTTGTTCTGTCAACACCCGACTGGATTATTAAGTACTGAGTGACAACAGGACGGTAACGACTGAGGACATCTCTTTTAAAATGAGAGGGACCCCATGAGAAACCATTTGTAACATAAACTTATTACACAGCTTAAGAAAAAGTAAAATATTCTTAACAATTCTAACAACAATGATAGTTATCTGTATAATTTTTGTAATTTTCTCCAGAGTCACTTTTTAAGATTTTGATTGAAGTTGTCTTTAGGTCCTGACAGAAATGAATAACTCATGTTCTCTGAAAAAGGGACGAAGAAAATCCGTCATCTGTAGCAGTTTGTAAGCCCGAAAAAACTTCAACCAATGTCTGCCATGAGGTACCAATCTGATGAACCAATCAGACGCCTCCCTGTCTCCCTGCTCGCTCTCTACCTCCTTGTGTGCACGAGCTCACACTCAAAACGTCACTGATGACAGAGTTTATACTGTGAGTTTACTTACCGCTGAATGAGACATGAGACGACGTAGTTTCTACACAATGTAAGAGATGAGCTGAGGTCCGCTTCTGGAGCAACGACGGTGTTTGTGCATGTAAGTGAGGGGGCGTGGCTTTAGAGGGGAGCACAGAGGGGAGGGGGGTGGGTGCAGACGGAGCACTGAGGGAATGCTACTTTCAAAATCATGCTAGTTTTCAAAAATGACCAGCCCTGCCTTTAGTTAAAGGTGTTTTACATGTCATAAAAAAGACTTACCGGTATATTTGGGGTTAAGAAGCAGCAGCAGAACTTAAGAGGAGAGTTGTGCGGTAAATTAAAGACTATTTCACTAAGCAGCTCTTAAGGGAATTGTAATGCACCAATCAATAATGAATAAACGCTTAAATATATTACACATCATTATAGACTTCAGAACTTTCATTGTATCAGCAGGGGATTACTTGAGTGGCTGATATAGTAACACGTACAGTAATTCCAAATTCTGTGTAAAAACATGAATAAAGTGTTTCTTTTTTTTTTAATAAAAACTATGTCTGTGCTAAATGTCAGGACTGCAGTCTCACCGATGGTCTGGAAGCGGTCGAGCGGGTAAGTCACGCAGATGAAGTTCTGTCCGTTGACCAGGCCGCTGTTGGGGTAATAAAACTGTCCTTCCTGTTGGACCGGGGGGGAAGTGAGGGGTGCTGTGGACCAACCAGAAGCCTTGATTTTTATCCAGCAGGACGACGCCTGAGGAAGAGAGACATTAAATCTATCAGGATCAAATTAAGGGATTCACCTGCAGAGGGTTAGACTTCACATGGGCGCTAAGCGGGCGGCCCAGGTTCAAATCCGACCTGTGGCTCCTTTCCCGCATGTCATTCCCCTCACTCTCTTTCTCCCTGATTTCTGACTAGCCACTGTCCTAGCTCTCTAATAAAAGGCACAAAAAGCCAAAAAATAAATCTTTAAATGCTCACTTATTCAGACATATCACAAGTTTTTAAGACATTTTTTCAACTAGCCTAACAAGTTTAGATATCACTACAACTTCAGCAGCTCTGGAGCAACAGTATATTTCATTTAGAGACACGTTACTGGCCACTGTTTAGTCCAACATCGACTTGATTTTAGCTCTCATTTGCAACACTTTCTATCTTTTTTGGGGGGGGGGAGCTGAGCAGGTAGTGCACAGGTGACACCTTCTTCAAGAGAGGAACCAAAGAAAATACTGAGCACACGAATCACTTCGGCAAATTTAATAAATGCGAAGGACTAAAGTTTCAACACACTGCATCCTCCTCAGCGTCAAGTATTTTCTTTGGTTCCTGTCTTGAAGAAGGTATCCACTGAATTACATTTTTTGTACGTCTTGAGTCCTTCTCTCAGAGTTTCCTTCCACAGTGCACCGGCCTGCCATGACTGAAAACAACACGAGCGGTGAGATGGAACCAAAAAAAGTGCTGTGTAATCGTGTGCGACTGAGGACAGCTGCACAGTCAGGTAATCAAAGTGTTGTTAAATAGATTGTTAATGTATTCAATTAAGCTGTTATCAACGTGCATTATCCTTTCAAGCAGGCATATAAAATCACCTGATTAAAGGACAAACTTGCACCCATTGATTTAACTAACACATGACAGATGAATGACGCAGTTGTCCATGTTTTCCTGATTTTAAGCATAATGTCGATTCTCCCCGGCCTTTCTGTGCAGCCTTAGTATTCGAGTGAGACTGCCTTGGTGTTCACCTTTGGTGTGCCCCCCTCTGCTGCCGCTGTTGTCAAACCATCTGCCACCAAAGTCCTGGGAAGGCCTCTGGTCATTGTAGAGGATGTACGCTAACTCTGTGTTCTGTTAAGAGGGACAAAACACACATTTAAGGTCAAACAAAACACTACACGAACAAGAAATCACACAGTTTGGCTTTAAAAGGAATCAAGTATCTTAAGATCGATAAGCTGAGGTTTACAAATGGTGAATGGACTTTAGCTTGTAGAGCGCTGTTTTTTAGCGATGCATGAAACCGCCACTGAAAAAACCCCTGTGACCCCTCCACCAGCTGTTCAGACAAACACACAGACTCTGTATTTAATCAGCAACTTTCAGTTCTCATTCTCAGTTTCTTTTCTTTTTTAATTCGTCAGAAGAACTGCTGTGAAAAAGCAGAAACTGGACCAAAAATATCTGCTGATGTCTGAAGGAAAATTTAAGTATGCAAAGCACAACAACACGTATTTCCTGAACAAACATCGTCGTGTTGCACTTTGTATGTCTTGTGTCTTACGCATGCCCCGTCTCAAAGCGTACACTTGTATGCACGTGTTTGGATGAACTTCTTTGACCCTACACTGGAGTATTCTTATCTACAAATCTTTCTTTGGTCTACTTCCTTCATACCTTCTGACCAGCCAGAAGAGCACAGCGAGACCTTTTCTGTAAGTCTATTCCAAAAATTCAGAACTGAACCGGGGGGAGAAAAAGGCGTTGAAGTTTGCTGCTCTCTTTACTCGGAACGGATCACAAAAAGAGCTGAGACTTAACAAGCTGCTCTGATTGGATGCTTTTAAGGGGTTGTTGAATGACTCAGAGTCTGTCGATGTTCACCCTGATGTGTTTGAAGATGCTCTTGACAAAACATTTGCTGTTTTGACTTGTTATTTGTGTCTTTTAAAGGAAGAATGTGCAACTTTTTTTGATCCAGTAGATGTCGCCCTTGAGCGCCAGCATGAAACTAAAACAAACTGCTCCTCCATACTGAATCATCCGCTCTCCTACAGAGACACACCTCCAACCCCCTCTCCCCTTGGGTTTTTGACAAATTGGTCAAATTGGACCGCATCATAATTAACTAAGCGCAAGCGGTGGACAAAATCGTCCTTGTCTCGAGCTGCATTTGTTGTGTTCGCAGGCTAATGTTAGCACACATTCTTCTGTTAATGTCTAATTGTAATTTTCTTTTGTATTAGTATGTGTGGCTGCTCGTTGTTTTTGAGGATCTCTGTAAATTGTGCTGCTGCCTGTCTTGACCACGACTCATAAGAGACTTTTATCTCACTGAGTTTCTTTCCTGGTTAAATAAAAAAATCTGTTATTACTCCAAGAAGATATACAACAACGGCGTCAAACACTTCTGATGTAATAATACATTAACAAGGAATAACAATAAAGTGAGTTCAGGGGCGCCGTTAGCGTGGTGGTTGGTGCGTGTGCCCAATGTATGGAGGCTGTGGTCCTCGGGGCGGGGGCGGCCCGGGTTCGGGTCCGACCTGGGGCTCCTTTCCTACATGTCGTTCCCTAATCTCTTTCTCTTCCGGATTTCTGACTCGGTCTGATCTCTTCAATGGAGGCATAAAGAGCTCCAAAAGTAGTTCAAGGACATTAAATAACTTTGTCAAATAAAAGGTTACTGTCACGTTCAGAATTACAGAGTTTTAGAAGCAGGTCAGGTGTGAATCTGTCATTTACATGTACATCATTTGCGTTTAAGAAAGAGATCCAAAAAAACTGTGAAATCCTGGCTGCCATAAAAAGGAAGATAGTCTTTGTCATTCCACATTATATGTTTGTGAAATGTGAATCATAAGGGAAGTGAAAGTGCGTTGGACGTTAACCTCTGAATCACATGTGGACGGACAATCACTTAGACTCCGTATTTGTTCAGTTTCTGTGACCGAAAAAGCAGATGCATGATGGGAGCAGACCTTTCCTCGCGAGTACAGCTGTCCGACCGTCCTGCCCAGAGCTCCTGTGGTGTCGTTCACTGTTCCCTTCCCATTAGTCCAGCCCTCACTCCCTTTCTCCAGCAGTAAATACAGACTGCCCGGCTGGGGAGACGTTCTGCCGTGTTCTTTGGGCAGCTTGTATAAATAAAACCTAAAACAAAGAATGAGAAACGTGTAGTTTAGTGTGACACCTAATGCTATTAATACATAAAAGCTCCAGGATAATAAGCAATGTGGTACCAATCAATTGCATCTCCTTGGTCATTGTAGCAGCTGATTGGTGAGGTGTCGCCCTCTAGTGGCACAAAGGTGATCAACAGGGACAGGAACAGAATCATCTAGGAACAAGAGGCAGACTTGTTGAATTAATCATTTCATAAAATATATATGCACTTTAACAGTCACAAAGGAAATGGGATTCTTTATTCATTTATAAGCCTCAGCTCAATAATTAGGGCAGTACGGAGAGGTGAAACAACTAAAGTAATAATTGTTAGTGCTGTCAATACCTAAGCACACGTGGGGTGCGAGTATTGATCTCAAATGGTGAGCCAATGATTTTTGAGCACACAGCTTGAAGAAGATACACTTCATTAATCCTGTGAGGGGAAATTCAATTTGACACTGTTGTTGAACATGCTACACACATAAGAGGCACGTGCACAAACAGGATCCTATGGACATGCACTAATGGAGAGATGTCAGAGGGGGGGCTGGCTTCTCCTGGGGGGGTTCGGTAACTTGCTTAAGGGAAACTTGATTTGACCCTGCAGTCACCAACCCATGTCGCTACAGACTGAGCTACTGCTATTATATGTTAAAGGTAGGTGTGTTGATGCAGAACCCAAGACCTTTCATTTTTGTGGAATAATATTTTGATTGATGTTCTCAAACATAGATGTTTTAAACGTTATTTCAAATGTTGTAGCATTTAAAAAATAATTGCAAATCTTTTGTTATCAGTCTTTGAAAAAGTTGGGGAAAAGGAGTTTTTACCTTGATTAAAGCCACCTCCAAAGTGTATTTTATTTTTGGTGTATTTCAGGGGATTATTGTGTTTCTGTTTTGTTGTTTTTTCTGGTCGTTTTATTTTGTATTGTGTCATCTTAATATGCTGCGTGGACCCGTTTGATAAATGTGCAACAGTTTAATGAGCTGTTTGTGAATTGATTAATAAAGAATGAAAATACAAACACAAAGCATTTGAAGGTTTTTTTCGTGCTTCCCCTTTTCAACACTTATCTCAGGATCAGCGTTTTGTTCAATTCATTAAGAATAAGTCGATCAAAATACTGAATATTCAGGTTCAAAGATAGTTTAACAAAGACAAAACAAACACCAAGCAAAGCGACTCCCTTTTATTTTTTTTACAAATATAAGAAAGTAAAAGCAAACATGAAAAAGCAGATCTTAGAAACTAGAGAAAACAAATCTCACACTGAGATAAAATAAACTTCATTCTCTAATAACACATGATAAATGTCATTAAACTTCTTGTGCCTACCTCTGTCTTAATGCCTTCCTCCAAGTTTATGTCCTCATGAATTTAATGATCGTATTCACAGCATAAAATCAGCTGTAGCTCCCAATCCTGAGAAGTTTCAATTTCGCATACTTCCTTATTTACGTCTGGGACAAGACTTCTAGGATGAGACAGTGACTTCATTGAAAAATGTTGCCTATCGATAACACCGAAGGTTTCTTACGTAAAATGTAACCAAATATTATATCATAAAGCGAAATCCAAGTAGTCTTCACAACAAGATTATTAAAAACGAAATAAAATGTAAAAGTGAAGTTAAAGTCGGTTTTGTCCCTCAGGAACTTCCTGGTTCTCGTCTTATCCTTCTCTAAAAGTCCTAGGTTATAGTCTCGTGGTCTGTGACGTTTCCCAGTGGGCGGGGTTTCTTTGACAGGGCGATCCTCCTTAACCCTCTGTGGCATGAATCTAAATTTGTTTTGGGAAAACATCATTTCGCCCAAGTTCTTGGTAGTTTGGGGGTCCCTGTGATTGATACATCAACAACACACACATGAAAAACAAAAGTTGGTTGGTTACCAAAAGGCAGAAATGTGCAGTGTGTAGGATACATAGTAGGCCTATGTTATAAGCCAGTGGTTCTTAACTGGTGGGTCAGGACCCAAAAGTGGGTCACAAGGTCGTTTTTAATGGGTCGCAGAAGTGTGCAAAAAAACAACTTTAGAAAGATATTTGTCTTGGGCGCGCTGGTGGCATAATGGTTAGGGCGCGCGTCCCATGTATTGAGGCTCTCGTCTTGAGCGGGAGGCCCGGGTTCGCTTCCACAAGTGACCCCCCTTCCACATGTCTCTCCCCACTCTCTCTCCCTGGTTTCCAACTCTATCCACTGTCCTATCTCTGCATTAAAGGCACAACCCCCCCCCCCCCAAAAAAAAAAAAAGATATTTGTCTTGTTTCATCTCTTTGTTCTGTCATTGTTTTGTACCATTTGAGGTCCAAACTGCACTATTTTTCATAAAACATAAAAGTGGAACTTGAATGTGTTTATCTGGCTTTTTTGTTGTTTCACACTGTTTGATTCTTTCACAATTGTGGTCACAATGTGGTTTTATTTTAGTCCTTGCCTTTATTCTGCTCCTCCTCTGTTCCTCTTTTCATTCAAAATGTTTATCCGTCCTTAAATCACCTGAACAGATGAATTGGAACAGATGTCGACCAGCGTATAGTTCATGATGTGACAGAATAATGTCTGTGTCATCAAGAACTGGAATATAACGGGATCTTTAGTTTCCATGTGATGCTTTAATTTTTTAGGTGAGTTTAATGAACCCATAAGGTTGCATAAATGAACTTCTTCATTCATTTGACCTGAAGATCCTTTTCTCCTTTAAAACATGGATCTCAGGGAGTAATGTTTGTCACAGCGTTGCTTTTCAAAAACATCACATAGTGAAGCTCTGTTTGAGGAAATGATGTTGCGTCCTCGAGTCACCTCTAACCTAACATAAGTAGACCAACCAGGACTTCCTCAGAAAGCTTTCCACTGAACTGAGGGGACTGAACCCATGGCAGAGCACGTCACAGGTTTCCAGAATGGGGGCTCTTTGCCTGCATACATCATTTCATAATTACCAAACTGAAGAAGCTGAGTGGGATTTTCTGGCACAACGTCACCATCTACCAAGGTGCATGAAGTGAGAAAGGATCGAAGAGGCCAAAAAGCTCCAGCAACACTTTAGTAACAAATTAGAGCAGGTCTAAAAAAGCTAAAAAAAAAAAAAGTCACTTTTCTTTGAATAAAACATCCCTCCATCAATTCTCAATCAGATATCAGAGTCATTTTGTGGAATTAATCTGTTAATTTGATTAATTCCTCTATGTCAGTGATTATGTGTAAAAAAAAAACATCTCATAAGAAACTGACACTCATTCATTGTTTGTTTTTTGTCCGTTTGGTTGATCTACATGTTTGCACTTGATATGTGAAGTCTGATATCTTGTTAGGTTTGTTTGTTTTGTAGCTTTTACATGTCGCCATGTCTTACAGGTTGTTTCTACCACTCCCACACACGAGCGTTTCTATTGTCTTCAAGTGCTTCATCTTTATATTCCTGTGAAATGAATAAATACAAAAATATATTACAAGAGTAGACAGAGAGCACCAAAATGCAGAACTACATTTGGTCAGTCATCCTTCTCAGCAAGAGGAACACATTACCATCAGAAAAGAAAAAACGGATAGATTTCAATGTTTTTAAGCAACAAGGCTGAAACTCTTATATAATCTCTGTATTTGTACAATATCACTACTTCCTGTATTCCTTTAAGCCCAATGCTTTCCTGTCTCTCTTTGTAGGTAGCTTAGGTCCTTGACTTCTCTTTTTCTTTCTCTGCTTTTGTGCCCTGAAAAAGAATAACATGAATAAATGTGCTCAGACACGATGCTTCCTGTCTGGCAGCGTCATGAAGAATTTAATTTCTCTTTCAATATCATATCCATAGTTACAATGGTGCTTTCTGCTTGCATTTCTGTGTACTTCAGTTTCAACACTGCTGGGGTGGGGTGGGGTGGGGTCTGGGTGTGTGGGTGGGAGGAAGGTACTGTCATATCACGGTGCATGCCTCCAGTCCAATTCTTCTGCAAAAGGCTACAGCCAGGGTCAGCTGGAGTTGCAAATTAGCCAAGGCTAGAAACCTCAGACCTGTATGCATAGCATCTTCTTTGTATTACATATGAAGCAATGCTCAATGTTTGTGTCCCTGTTGAAAAGAGGAAGAAAAATAAAAAAGAACATAATGAAGAACATAATAAATTGTAGGTGTGAATGTCAGCCCTGTGATTGACTGGTGAACAGTCCAGGGTGTACCCCCCGCTTCTCGCCCAATGGCAGCTGGGATCGCCTACAGCCCCCTGCAACCCTGAATGGGAAAAAAGCTAGATAGATAATGAATGGATGGATAATGAAGAAGTGGCTGGATCATGTCTTTTAATGAGTCACCATGTGCTAATAGCAGAAACTACTGCAGGGTAGTGTCTCAGTTGTTGCTGAGTTTATTTTTTCTCTATAAATACTACCAACACTACACACCTAACATGTACATTTACAGGTTCTTTTACTGTATTTGAGGATGATGTGACCTTGAATACAAATGACTCCATATTGTAAATCACATTTAAGGAACTGTGTGATAACAACTGCTTTCATTCATATCAGTGTTTGAAAACTTTACACCACCATGACTGCTTAGTTTGTTCTCCAAATGAGACACCAATACGTCCTCTCTTTGTACATGAACGTTTAGATTTTCATGCTTAGATAGGTGTTGTCTCTCTCCCTGGTGCCCCCCAAAAGGTTGTGTTAATGTGATTCAGCAAGGGAGTGACGAATGATGAAAACAGAACAGGTTTTTCACATCCTTGTTGGTGCAGCTGCTAAAATAGCTTACAGTTGTCGGCATCTCCGTGTTTGATATGTTAAAAATACAATAAAAGAACAAACACTTTGAATACATTCAAATTAAAGCGTGTGATGAGTTGTAAACAGGCTCCTGCCACTTTGTTACATATGTTCTGGACATGCCCAAAACTTTTTGGTTTCTGGAGCTCTGTTTTTGAGACCTTTTCAAGAATATGTGGGACAACGGTCGACCCCTCTCCACTGACCTCTCTGTTTGGTGTTGCCCCGATGAACACTCCTGTTAATGAGCACCAATAAACCAATATGATGGCCTTTTGCTCCCTTTTGGCCAGAAGACTAATATTATCTAAATAGAAGGACTCTGCACCCCCGACATATGGCCAATGGATAAGGGAGGTCATGTTTCTTGTCCACTTAGAGAAAATCAGATATACTATAAGAGGTTGCACCAGGAAATTCTATATCACTTGGCAACCATTTTTATCTTTTGTTGAAGATATGACAGCTAACAACATAACTATGTAACCTTTTTATTGTTTTATTGTTTTTTCCTTTTTTCCTTTTTTCTGTTTTGTTTTTTAATGTATTTTATTATTTTCTGTCTGTTATTTATTTGTTTATATGTCCGTTTATTCAGTAAGATCTGCAGGCTTACTGATGATCCAGGGCTCGGGGATTTGGGGATTGGATCAGGTTTCCTTTCTGACTGTCCTGTGTTTGTGCTGTTGTTGTCTATATGATATATTTGAAAAATAAAAATAAAAAGAGCTTGATCAAAACAAAAAAAAAGTGTGTGATTACCGTGGTACTTCTGAGAACATTTCAGCCAAATGCGTAAAAGAATAGATGCAAATTGCTCAGAGAGATGTTTATTTACTGGAGGAAAAATATACAGCCAAGCACTTTAAACTATTGTCTTATTACCATCGCCCTGGTGTGTTTCATTATCTACTGTACAAAAAGAAAAACTCTGGAGATCAGTAGACTGCCTCCTCCACACTTAGAACTGTGCAAACACATAATCACTCATACACTCATCACTTACACAAAGTAAAGGTATAATTAAAAAAAAAAGCACAATTATTGCTGTTATCTACAAGATAAGATTGAAATACCTTACTTGTAAACTTCACAATCACATCAGGATCCTCTCTTTAGTGGCATTAGTAGCACTGTTGCGCAAATATTAGCGATGTTGCTAAACTTGTGACAGCTTTAGCACTGAGCGACAAGATCACAAGAGATGATATGACCCTAAAAAAGCATCATCAGCGTAAAAAGTAACGCTGTTTTAACAGTAAATAAAGCTAATAAAGCTACAATACTGGATGGCTTCCACTGTGACCTCCCACAGTTCTTTTGTTTTTCTCCATCTCAGGTTTGCAGCAGGCATGGTAGTTCAGTCCTCTGCTCCTCCATGCGTCCTCCCTGGACCCTCAGGAGCAGAGAGAAGAAGTCATCGTCGTCCATGGGGACCAGGAGCCCTGCTGCGCTGGTCCTCCAGTCTGCCCTGAGCCTGAAGATGGAAAGCAAATGCAAAAATAAATGCCTGAAATTAAGTTTAAAGAGGACATATTATCCCCCTTTCTCACCTTTTCAAACAGTCCCCTGTGGTCTAAATGAAACATCTGTGCTCTGCTTTGGTCAAATTATAACATGAATCAAGCACCAGAGGAGGTTTGTGACCCTGTATAAACCAGCTTTCTCAGAACGCTCCGTTTTGGTGTGTGTGTCTCTTTAAATGCAATGAGCCCCCCCCTGAGTTTTCCCAGTAGACATCACTCCTCTGAAGAGAGAATAAAAATGGCAGACCTGCGCAAAACTTTTGCTCTAGGCTGGGGGTGGAGTCCATGGATGGAGATACGAGGAGAGGGGAGGGGAGGGGATTTTTTTTTTTTTTTTTACCAGAATCCCTTTGTGACATCACAAGCTGAGCAAATTTAAAACAGAGCATTTTTCTCTGTGTTTTAAGACTTATATAGACCACAAACAAAGGACTGGATGGGTTTATTTCACATTTTGTGGGTGTTCATGTTATTTTCTGTAAAAGTGGATTTTTTCATAATATGTCCCCTTTAAAGTCACAACTTCACAATAAATGGCACAATACAAAAGTGTTTGCTAGATGTTTTGTTTTTTTGCCACAACCACTTACTTGTGTGGTTAGAATCATATTATAAAGATCCTCATTGGGCACAGGAGCCGCTGCGGGAGCTGGTACAGGAACAGACACGGGCCTTCTCACAAAAGAGAGCTGCTTTATGCTGCCTCTGAAACTTCTGGTCTTTGATTTTGCTGGTGAAGTCTTGTCGAGCTGTGCCCTCTGGTCATCCAGCCTGCGAGCCTGACTAGTTGCCACCAGCTCGAAAAACTCCTCCGTCTGCAGTGAAGTCATGGAGGAAAAGATGACTGTGGAGAGAGAACAGAGAAGACGGCGCGAGACTTTCAGTGGTCGGAGAAAGATGTGAAAACAAACGAGAACATGTTTTTAAATATTCTTGAGTCACAAAGTTACTGTGTTTAGTTCTGAGTTGTTTCAGCTTGATCAAAATGAGTCAGCATCATGACAATGAAACAAATGCACCAGTTGCATCACTTCACACTTTTAAACACAGTAAAAGCTTTACAAATCTCTCTCACCTCTGTGTGCTGGTTTGCCGGTGTTGGGCTCAGAGTGGCACCTCCTCCTCCTCAGCCCACCTCCCTCCAGGCTGAAGGAGCAGCGCTGGTCATTGAGCCGCCTCCCCTCCTGGAGGGTGCAGAGCAGCTCGTACAGCGACTCCGGGAAGTCCGGGGTTAACCGGTGAGCCTGAGAAACACGCGTGTAGGTGTCGGAGAAAAGAATGAGGGAGGGAGAGAAAAGGTCTCTTGCCGAGTGGCACAGAATGTTTGTTGGCACAGCAAAAGAATTCACTTGACTCCTACGTACTCCCACATGCTCCGTAGAAAAATGATCACTGCATTTTTCCACCATGAGGTTTTTTTCTAGTAGGGTATCTTGTTAAGTAAAGAGCATACAAAAGAAGCACTTCGTTCACTGCATGGCTGAGTTACAGTGATAACATCAGGGCATATGATAAAAGAAAAATAACAAAAGTCTACCAACCTCTTTTGTGTCTTCTTCAGGTGGTTGCTCAGAGGATTTAAAGCTCTTTATGTCCACTTCAGAGCTGATTTCAGTAACTTTTTCCTCCTCTGTATCACTGGGTTTCTCTTTTTTTTTTCCATTAATCCTCCTCATCTCAAGCGTCTGTCCATCACTCTCATTATCAGCTCTATTTTGTCCATCATTCATGTTTCCAGCGTCCTCTGTTAAGTCCTCTGCATTGGTTTCTTGTTGTTTTTCCAGGCGCTGCTCTTCTACACACGTTTCACTCACTACATCTTTTTCTTTTTTGTCCTCTCCTGCGTGTTCCTCTTCCCTTTTAAGAGCTGAAACTTCAGTGCCACTCTCTGCAACAACAACTGTCCCTCTGTCAGAAACACCCTGGGTTATGTCCCCTTCTTCTGTGATGTGGAGAGCTCCCAGAAGCCCCTCTTCAGTCATTTCTACTTTGATCTCTGCGCAGTCCATTACTCTTGCTGTCAAATCCTGACAGAAGATACATAGAAAAACAAGGTTAGGTAAAGGATTTTACGTCAAAGACTTTGAGGAGACATTGTTGGTTCTGCTCAGAAAATCCCAACGGGTATCACCCTTAAAAATAACTTTCTATAGATAAGATGACTTTGGAGTAGCTGTGTCTTTAAGTTCAAAGATATCTGTGAAACCAGTTTGGCAGGTTCTAGTTTGCTTCAGATGTTTAAGCGGAAAATCCAAGAGTAAGTCCTATTTTTCTCTCAGTTGTTTGACAACAAAGGTGAGTGATAACACAGATGGAGGAAATGCCCTCTTCTAGAGACAGATTGAGCTTCTTCTTTTCTTTTTTTCCGGAATTTCACCGTTATCCTTGTTGAGATGTATTATTTCTGCCTCAAAAGTTGCAGCACATAAAATGTAAATTCAATCTTACCTTAAATAAAAGTTGTACTTTCACAGCATCATCCTCTGAAGTCACCGCACACCGAGCACAGCATATTTCCCGTCACTTGTCTTCTAAATATTTTGATGTAGAAAAAAAAAAGAGAAGGCTGCAATGAAGAGTTTCACATACCGACGTGACAAGCTCTCGCCCGTTCTGTCTGACTGCTACCTTCTCACTCGTCTCCTCTCTTCCTGTTCCTCTTACCGCAGCCCACCCCTATTTACTTAGCCCACATGTGACATGTCAATCTATTATGAAACAGGACTGTCAAAGGCAGAAAGAGCATTACATGTTTCTATGGTCCCAAGAAACCATTTGAATCATTGGAGATCAATATAAACGCTGTCAAAGCAGCTGTAATCTTAAACTGCTGCCTTGAGTGCTGCTCATTTGATTATGACTGACTCCACTGTAACATGTTGAAACAGGCTAACAGTTTTTCTGACACTGCTGTGGTTTTGGCACACTTCCTGTTGACACTGCTGCTAAAAGGAGAAGTAGAGTCAGACAAGTAAGTGAAGCTCTGTAAGTGAGATTATAGCTTAAACTGGAGACATTAAAAGGCAGCTACTTAATCTGAGGGGCTCTGACAATGCTGGTAACTAGATTTAGAAGAGACGATAATCTCCATTTTATGTAGATGGACCTTTTTTTTTGTTATTTCCTGACATCCACTGTCACACTTCTGCTTTTTGAAAATGCAGGGGCACAGATTGTTGTGTAACATTTACAAGGCGTGTATCTTTTCCTTTCGATTGCTAAGGGACCCCTCCTGTGAGACATGCCTCGTCAAGGCAAAAGGCGTGCCATGTCCCTGAAAGTATCTCAGGGGTTAACAGAGAAATGTATTTTAACTCCTCCATCATGTATCTGCCCTGGCCCCTTCGGGAGTAGCAAGAAGAACCCCCTCATCATCCACGGCTTCAGGAGCACTGCTCTGGTCCTGTTGCCTGTCCTGGGCCTGTTGCTGGAACGTAAAGGGTAAAGCCAAGAGTGACAAGCAAGTAAATAACATCTTGCTGAAGTTGGAATGGCATGGTATCTTTGTTATTTTGACACCACAACATACACTTATGCTATTTGCAGGGAGTACAATTAAAAGGGTGAAGATTCCCCCCAGGCAGTCTCTTACCCCTCTGCAAGTTTCATATGTTGTAGTGTGTTTACGAAGCTTGCACCTTTCAATTGGTAGCGGACCTTGACGTGAGTGATGATGCCTGAACAACACAGTCAGAAGGGGCTCAGAGCATCGGGGTCAACAGAAGTTTTTTTTTTTCGTTTTTTTTTTCTGGGGAGTAATGATAAAAAAAATATTACAATACTGGAATAGTCTTCCCTGGACCCTCTGGAGAAGCAAGAAGAACCACTCACCATCCATAGCACCAGGAGCACTGCTCAATTGTCCTCCAGCTTGACCTGGACCTGTTGTTGGAAAGTAAAATGCCATACGTTACAAGAAAGTCAATAACATCTTATTTAAATTGGAACGACATAGTAGCTTTCTTATTTCCTAGTTGGTAGAGTTGTCGCCCCTCAACCAGATGGTCGAGGGTTCGATCCCCAGCTGAGCATCATGTCCGATGTGTCCTTGGGCAAGAGACTTAACCCTGAATTGCTCCCGCTGCTTCAGTGGCGGTGTGTGAATGGGATTAGTTACTTCTGATGATACTACACAGCGATCACTACCATCAGTGTGTGAATAGTCGGAAGACTAGAAAAGCGCTTTATAATCTCAAGTCCATTTACCATTTTCCATTCTTCTGCTTTCTGCAGTGAGTAAAGATTCCCCCCCAGGCAGTCTCTCACCCCTCTGCAAGCAAAGAAAAGCACCGCTTATCACATGTTGCCGTGTGTTTACAAGGCTTGTACCTTTTCCATTCAATCGCTAGGGGACCCTGCTGCGAGTGATGTCTGAGATCAGGTTGTGTGTTGTGCGCTTTGTGAGCACAGTTGGGCAGCAGTCGTCGCCACCGTGCGTCGCTGAAAATGTTGCAGCAGCAGCAGCAGCATCTGACGGGCAGTGGGCCCGCGAACGGCCGGGGACTCGGCGTGAGCGGTCACCCCGGGATGCACGCACTCAACTCGGTTCATCAACCTTCCCAGCACCGGTCCGACGGAGGGGACTCGGGCCTGGAGGGCACGGAAAACGGACACGAAACCCGCAGAGATATTGGCGACATACTGCAGCAAATAATGACCATCACCGACCAAAGTTTGGACGAGGCACAGGCAAAGTGAGTGACTGATTTTAATTCATTTATAAAGTTATTAAAACATCTTGCCTTTGTTTTGCAGCAAAGTTTCCTGAACTTTAACCTATTGTTTACATAATTACCCAGAAGCTACATTCATACCTAACGGCAAATAAAGTTGCATTTTCTAATAACGTGTTTGATTAAATGCTGATACCAAATGGTTATTGTTTGTTTGCTGTCATATCTTAAAAGTGTTTCCTAAAGCTCAAACGTGACGTTAGCTCAGTTAGCATGCTAGGCTAGGCTAACTGAGCTAACTAGCCAAAGCTACTACAGGTAACTTAACAGGTATCGCACATTTTAACGTTCAAATTGTGTTTTCCAACAAACGTAGAGAAGTAATGGCATGAGAAATACTTCATAACACGACCCAACTTGTTTTCAAGCAAATACAGTGTTGGTTGTGTTTTTTTAACAAGTTAGTAAATCACTTCCGTACCTCTTAGCTTGTCAGAAGCTAACGGTTGCTACATTAGCCACGTTGATTTTAGTTGGGAAATAATTTGTGTTTTTTTTGTTTTTGTTTTGGTCAATTCAGCACATTATGTTAGCCATAACCTCCTGCAGCAAAGTTATTCTGGTCTTCTGTCAGGTGGTTTTTGCAGTGGAAACATCTTGTTGTGTTCATAATAAACATTTAAAGAGAGTTTTATCAACAAAGTGAAAGATTTTGACTCATTTTAGATTATTCCTGTTTTCCTTTGAAATTCAGAGAAGGAAACTATTTCACTTATTATTTCACTGCAAACATTCAAACTGATTTTAGACCGAAATGAAAGACTATAGAAATAGAAAAACTGTTTCTAATGTATATTAAGGTATTTAATATTATGTTACATTTGATTTAAAAAGGTGTTTTCTGTTCATGTCAATTATATTACTGAACTCCTCATGTTTCTTGAAAAATGTCCCATCTATAAATCAATATGGACTGCTTAGAATATAATAGAATTACTTTATTGATCCCAAACTGGATTATTGTGGTGTTACAGCAGCAGGTTATCCAACACATAATGAGTAAAAAAACACAATGTTAGCAAATCTAAACACAATATAATATTAAATACAAAGCAAATAAGCACTAAAAATATCAAAACTAAGAATGTGAATATATACAACCAGGATTTAACTAAGCATTACTAGCCTTAAATAGGAAGATTAAATATGGAAGATTAAATGTAAATGTGCAAAAACAGAGTCGTAAATGTTAGTAAATTAAATATGAAAGACTAAAGTAAATGTGCAAAAACAGAGTCGTAAATGTTAGTGAATTAAATATGAAAGATTAAATGTAAATGTGCAAAAACAGAGTCGTAAATGTTAGTAAATTAAACATGAAAGATTGAATGTAAATATGCAAAACAGAGTTGTAAATGGACAGTATTGACATAAGTTAAAGTGCATGAGTGTAGATATATTATAAGCAGAAACTATACAATATAACGGCGAGTAGACAGCCAAATGAAGTGAACATGAGTGCAGGGATAATTTGTAAATTTAACATGTGCAGAACAGATTACAGTAAGGAGAGACAGATATTATCACACATATATCGCAAGAGGTGAGCTGTTGTACAGAGTTATGGCCTTCGGTAAGAAAGATTTCTTGTATCTGTCCTTGTGACAGTGGAGTTGTATCAGTCGAAGATGGTAGAAACCCTGCAGTCATCATTTTATTGTGAAACTCGGAACAATACTGCACCTCAATTGAATATATGAAGATCAGAAAAAGCGATGAGACTTATCTTATTTTGAAGGAAATTAAATTAGCTTGAGCTTTTGAGGAATTAAATTAAGTTTAACCCCCCTGGCTTGTCCAAAGCTCATACTAAATATTTGTACAGTTCATATGAAAGTGGTTCTAACTGGTATATGATTGTCCTCGTTCCTGTAAATAAAAATTTTTAAGGAGGAAAATGTTGTTAGTTTAATCTCACATTATTTTCTTACAGGAAACATGCACTCAACTGTCACCGAATGAAGCCAGCTTTATTCAGCGTCCTCTGCGAAATCAAAGAAAAAACTGGTAAATCATTTTCGAGTATTATTAATTTTACGTGTTTTAATGTTGTGAGTGCTTGAAATCTTGCGTTTTATCTCCAGCTGGTATTTGCTGAGTGTTGGATGTGCTGTGGGCTCTGTGTGTTTGCAGCTTTATTAGCCAGTGTTGACGTTTTGTCATCGAAGCCAATAAAACTGAAACCACTTTCAGTCAATGGTTTACAAACAAAGCTCTACTGAATAAGTAATTAAACTGCGGTTACCAGTAGTTCGATACTTCAACATCTAACGCTAACACACACATAAAGATTAATGTTGTGAAACAGCTATTAGGTTAAATAGTATTGGTATAATAATAGAATCAAACAGCTGGACAAACAGACTCACAATGCCTACAGGGGAAATACAATACATGTTAGTTTGGTAGCTGCACAGTACACATATGAAGGAGGTAATGAGAGAGTGCTGAGTAATGACCCTTGGTTTCTTTTCTTTCATGCTATGAAAGGTGGATAAATGTTATTCTATTTGTTGTCAGCTGCACAGTACAAATATGATACAGGTGCATACATTTAAAAAAAAAAAATATTCACTCAAAGAAACCTGAAAGTTGTTGTTACATTTGTTTTCAGTTTTACCGTTCAATGATTCCAGGGGAAAAAAGAGAAATAACTTGATTTATAACTTAGATTTGATACAGTGGGTGAAGATGAAAGAAACAAGAAATTAGTAATTTAGAGAGCGTATAGTGATGATGCATGAAGTCACAATGGCTTGTCCGTCTTCTAAACACAATGCATTCATGTTTCTATTCGCTGACCTGCCATTGTTATAGGACAAAGCTGAACACTCATCTTTTGCTTAGAACTAGATTAGATTAGATTGACTTGGCAAGGACATCACAGATACATTGGATGAACAGAATGCAAGTGTTTTAGTAACACCTGTACACAGGAGGCTTTTGAAAGAAAACCTTTAAAATAGGAAGAAAAACATTAAGACTGGGAGATACAATAGAGAGAAAATGACTAAAATAATAAAATGTGAAGTGATAAAGAGCAGCAATATTTACACATCAAATAGTCAAATATACACATGAACTGTAGAGCAAAGGCAGCATGATTAGACAATAAAACCAGTCAGAAGATGTT